GAACTAGGATTGTTTGTTGTTTGTTAGGTGAGGAGATCCTAAAAAAAATAATTACAATAATAATTAATATAATACTGGATACTTTTGGTGATATCCATGGTATTGAAAACAAAAGTATTAATATTGTGACAACACTAGTTTGAACATGCCAAAGTTCAACGATGATTTCTTTCTCTTCAAAAGTCATAAATGGTTCATACATCCTTGGCATCATATGTGTCAAGTATGAAGTGAATAAAAACAAGTGAGAAGTCCTTCTTTGAAACATTCATCATTTTCTGTATTTCAGGAGGATTGACTGTGAGGAGTTTTACATAATGAGGTTGGATGCTCGGGTGCAGTGGAGTTGGGAGTAGACAAAGAGAAAATATTGATATGTCTGTACTGTGTATCCGGAGAAGACTGTCATATGTGACTGATTACTTTAGTCCTCTCCCAGCTGCCTGGCGGCCAAACAAACGTGCCATTGAGCAGCGCTTCATCATCATATCTGCTGGATGCCTTTGGTGTCATGATTCTTCCAATGAAACTTCATCAAAACGGGAGCGGCCTTTTCAGAATGCCTATAAACCAGACTTATCCACTGGAGAAGTTGAATTATAGTGCCGCCGGTAAAAGGGAATCATCTTTTTAAAATACACAAAAGGGATTTCATTTATTTCAATTCCACTCAATTTGAATAAAGACGTCTATCCTGTTAGGAACATCCAGTGCGCATTGTCATTTAGCTAGAAACTATTTGCTTTGAAGATCACAAATTTATTTAGTTATTGGAACTGGAGCAATACCCAGGAACTAGGGATGGGCATGAATAGTTGATTAATCGATAACTGATCATTAAGAATTTTGTTGATTACATTAATTTTTAATCGACAAACCGAATGTAGGTTGCTGTGCGTAGTGTAGGGTGACCAAACCCGGACATGTCCGCTTTCCACGTCCTGTCCTGGCCATCCAGATTTTTTTTTTTTTTATATATATAAAGTGATCCAAACGTCCGGGTTTTTATTACCTTTCATTGGGGCCATTAAAACTGACTGGCTCTCATAGCTCTCTGCAGTCAGAATGAGCAAGCAGACACAAACAGTCGATCAGCCTGCAACATGTCGAAGCGCAAATGCACATTTAAAAAGAAATTCCCCGCTTTCCGGCTCGGACAGGACAAGTGGGAGGCCATGTGGACAGTGTACAAAGCAGGCACATATGTTTCGGTGTCCAGTGGGGGTGCCAGGGACCTCAAAGCTCACCAGGACACCAAAAAACATTAAAAAGCTCTGCCAGGTGAGAGTAGCTCAATGTCAACGACAAGGCCCCACCTCCCACCCCCCCATACAGTGTCCTGGTTTTGACAAGCAGAAATGTGGTCACCCTAAACCATATTGCACTGAGACGTGTCCTTTAGTCCGACAGAAGTTGACATCAGCGCACAAGAGCTGTTTTTTTTTCTTCACTTAGTTTATGCAAATTAGCCAATGCGTGGTTTTAAGTTTTGTTTGTGTAAAACATAAACAAATGTGCACAAAGCTGCATTAAACACATTATAATGTCAAACAGGTTGATGTGGCTCTATATGGTTACGGTTTATATGTTGGAAAGTTGAGTTTATTTATGCAGATTAGTAGTGCAAATAGTAATAATAATGCTGATAATTTTAATATAAAACTGTTAATGATTAATTGAAAAAATATTTATTCTCCCGACAATCGATTAAGAAAATTTAATCGAATCCCCATCCCTACTTTGAAGGAATTAATTATTTCATCACCAAAACACTTGAACAGTGTAAGTGTGAGGCCTTTCCTGCTGTGTTCACCTGGCTCTCCCAGACTCTGCTGTGATGTTGCAGGACACAAAGGAGGAGCACTTTTGGCTCTTTCATAGGATCTGCTGACCCTACCTGACCAGTTCTCCTATTAAACTGCACCTTTGACTGAGACACAAAGGCTAAGAAGTGCAGCGTCAGTGTTGCAGCAGCAAAACTTTAATTTCCCTTGGCATCAATAAAGTATCTCTCTCTAAAATTATCATTTATCATTATTGTCAAAGTCTGCCATATTGTTACAAATCGTCCATACACTGGCCAAAACAATGTAAAATGTGGTCACTACTGGTAAAGACATTAATCTCACTGTAGTTGCTAAATATGTTTGAATGAATGCTATGTGAAGTATGTAGCACTAAGTCTCCATAGTTTTATTCTGTATGCGGTTCTCTGTCTCTACCTCTGTGGCCCTGTCTCACATTAATGCTCCTGTTTATCTTAGTGGATCCAGAGAAGTCTGAGAATGGCAGGTTGGCAATGGGCTTCTGCTGAAAGTATTTAGGTCTTAATTTAAGTCTGTTATGACATCTCCACTGTGTCTGCTCTGAGTGTTGGCAGAGGGACAAGCTGTTCGGACATGACACTTACTGTTTAAGTCACACTGCAGAGGAGCTGTTAAAATATCTGACAGTTTACTGAAAGGAAATAGCCTAATAATACTAATAATAGAAATAATAACTTACATGTTAACATAGAATTGTGCAAGTTATTTTTTATTTTTTACTGAAATAACTTGAGTTGATGTATTAGTTAAAGGGCCCATATTACGCTGTTAGGCTATTTTCTGATTTGCGTTATAATGTTTCCTCAGAGTTGTGTTTTGTTTCATTCACATACACTTTCACACACGCTGAGTTCTTCTTCTATCAAACAGAAAATGCTCTGTCATGTGGTAATACATGAAGTGCTCCACTGGATCATTTCAGCCCAATTTCTACTGAACAAAGAAAAAAAGAAAAAAAAGCTGAGTTTAAAGTTTACTTGAAAAAAAATAAAAATACAATTAATTGACATCACAATGTGAAGCTTTGGAGTTGTAGACTGATTACTTTTACTGATTAATAAATCATGTGAAATGTGGTAATGAAACAAATCAAAACTCCAGGTATCATTTTGAGGAGGTAACAACACGATAACATGGCAGAAAACTCAGAAGAGTCAATTTTCTGTAATATAGGACCTTTAAAAATGTTAACCTCTTCACTCCTGGTTTCTCCAGACTTAGGCCAAGGCTTAACTAGGTCCAAACCAGGACTATACCTGAACTAAAGGACAGTCCAATGAGATTAATTTGGTCTTCCAATATTTTATGTTATTAGGTTCTTTTTACGGACCAAGAGTTTGTTTTCATACTTGACAGTTTCGACTGCTCACTAGCGCTCTTCCTCAGAGTGTTCATGTGATGTTCCTGTGACGTGTCCGGTCAGCAGTGTTGTGCATGAACGAGTTCAAAAGAACGCGTTCATTGAACATGTTCATTTTTCAGTGAACTTTGAACTGAACGCAACACTTTTGTAAATCAAGAACTTGAACGTGAATTTGTTCAAATTATGTGTGTGATGAACGACGTACGTCACTGTTGGGGTTCAGTTAAACGTCGAAATTTGTTTTCACCTGACGAGTGACGATCTGCTCGCACTTCACCTCGCGAAACCACAGCCGCGTGTCAACGTGAAGGCGACTCCACCGGCAGCTTTAGCGGAACGTACGGGTCAATCAAACTTGACTGGGCGCGTTTAGCTGCTTGTATTTACCTTCTGTACAGGCTGACCACGGCAAACGCAAGGATTTCAAAAGTAAATTTCAAAGCACTAATTAACAGTCTATGTGGATCTGGGCTCTTTCACATGATACACAACTGCCCAGGGAGCACAATGTGCTGATGGTAAATGAACAAATACAACAATAGATACATGCTCTCTGTGTTGACGGGGATATGCGCCTACGCTCGTGTGTAGAGCGTCAAAAAATAGGATGGATCCTATTTTCTGAAATCTACACGCACAGGACGTGCTGCTCCGCGCGCGTATTATTTTACTTGGTACATGTGTCAGTAACGCGCGTCACAATGCTTTTTTAACCTGGACTGAAATGGTGGGTTTTTCGTTTTTCTTCATACAAATTTGCTAAAATCACCGCGATATCAGCAGCGGTGAAACACCGGAGGTGCGCCTGTGTAGACCGTGATCCTGAGCGAAAGGACCGACGCACAAGTCCACGCTCCACGCCCGATCGCACTCGGGGTTCACTCAGGGCGGTCCTAGATTCCAAGTTCTAGTCCAGGATTAGTCCTGGCTTGGTCCTGGTTTAGTCTTGGTTTAGTCCTGATTTAGTCCTGGTTCAGTTCTGGTTTAGACCTGGTTCAGTCCTGGTTCAGTTCTGGTTTAGTCCTGGTTTAGACCTGGTTTTAGACCTGGTTTAGTCCTGGTTTAGTCCTGGTTTAGACCTGGTTCAGTTCTGGTTTAGTCCTGGTTTGGACCTGGTTCAGTTCTGTTTTAGTCCTGGTTTAGTCCTGGTTCAGTCCTGGTTCAGTCCATATACGGCGCAAAAGTTCAGCATCTTAACAGTTCTTTTGGTGAGAGTAAATTAAAAGTGCTGCAATAGTCGTGTAATGTTTTACATTTTAAATACAGTAATATTGTAATGTAACAAATGACTTTGAAATGACAGTAACAAGTCATAATAACACATTACAGTTTTAAAGTCACTTGTCCAAGCAGTGTATCTTGTAAAGTTGTTGTAAACTAGAAGTCAGTTTGAAAAATAAATGCAGCCTTTCATTTACAGATCTCATCTAAATATAAAATGAACTGAACTTTGAACTAGTTCAAAATTAAAATTGTGAACTATGAACGTGAACTATTCACTTTGAACAAGTGTGAACTGAACGTTGAACTAGTTCATGAAAAGTGTGAACTTGCACAACACTGCCGGTCAGCTGATTTATACAAGTTTTGGCGCTGTCTTCCTATCTGTGGAGGCAGGATGACAGCGCCATCTGCAGTCCGACTTCCTCAGGACAGTATCCCAGGTGTGTGATAGTAAAAAAGCCCCCTTGTGCCGGTTTATAGTCCCGTGGGCACGTTTCGGTATATCAATTGCCTCTTTAATCCAGTGGCGATGTTTGTTTTCCTCTGTGCCAATGATGATGACACAACACAGCAACATCACGTGAGGAGGACCACTAGTGAGCAGTCGAAACTGTCAGGTATGAAAAAAAACCGAGACTAAAGGACTTCATTGTAAACTGTACAGTAGGAAAACTAAGTGTGAATGAATAGGAACAACCAAAAGAGGCATTACTGATATGAATATTGTAAAATGATTTCTTTGGAATAACACTCTGTTAATATTTACAATTCTTCTTTGTTTTGTAGTGTGGATTTTGCCCTGCTCGCTGCTCGGACCATACACTTGGATTTGGACATAGCAGATTATCAGCATGGACAGACACAGGAAGTGGACATGTGGCCTTGGGACATTTCTTCTCTTAGTTTTACAACATCTCACATTAGCGCTGGAAGTGCCTCTAGATCGTGAGTATTGCATCAATCACTATTTCAGTTTTATTATCTTTGCACAAAATCTTGCTGTAATTTAGTAAAAAATATAGTTTGGCTACTTTCAGCTAGCCACGGAAAAGCTGTAGACTTTTCTGACTTTTAAGCATGTTTTAGCATGGTTTTAATTCGGATTTTAATCTCAAAGTTGTACCATGTAAGTTTTCTGGTAGAGGCTCCGCTACTTGCTTGTCTCCATAGAGATGTTGTTGCTTTGCCTGAAATGTTGCACAGTATGATATTAAACGTCTATGTTATAAGCATTATTAATTACCAATTACCTGACCTGTAAATTAGCCTGGAGTAGGGCTGTAGGGCTCATTGTGGACCGAAAATTGCAATTTCGTTTTTGATTTATGGGTCTGCGTCACGGTCTATGCTCCACAAAGTAATTCACCACCACCACCACCACACTAGGAGGCTAGGATTTAAAACTGGCATTTGTGTAAAGTTTAACACGAACAATCTCCACATCTATGTCACAGGAAGAACACAGAGTCCACTGAGACATGTCCTTTAGTCTGACAGAAGCTGACCACATTAGCAGCACAAGGAGCGAGCTGTTTTTTTTCAGCGCTTATAGTTTATCCAAATTAGTCATGTGGTTTTAAGTGTCATTTCTGTAAAATGTAAAACAAATGTGCGCAAGTGGTCCAGCGTCAAATTGGTGGTGCAGGACTCTGGTGTGATACAAGTTTCTGTGATGTTTGCAAATGTTCATGTGCACTAAAACTTGATTTGAACAAAATTGTGGATGAAATCAAAATTGCAATATCTGCCAGAAAAATCGCAATTACATTTTTTCTTAAAATCGTTCAGCCCTAGCTTGGAGGCATCATCTGCTTTTTTTAGTTTAATACTTTAATGTGGAACATTCCTAACAAAGCTGTAACGCCTCCATGGAAACAAGTATGTGGTGTTACTTTCACCAGAAAAAATACATTGTGCCTGTTTTAATGCATTTTTGAAAGATATGTTTGAATATGACACACTTTGTTAATCAGAAAACCTTCAATTACTCTTTTGTATTGACTGAACCTGGTTTATCAGGCTCAGTCTAATGCACCAAAGTCTTTGAATGTTCAGCCTTTTTCATCTGAACTTTTTCACTCCTTTGCAAAAACTAACACTTTCTCCTAAATCTGTATCACTGTGGTACGGCGTGTCTCACTGGACAAAAAGCCAAAGTACTGGAAGGATGTAAGTCGGCTATAACACTGAATTAGAGTGTGGAGTTTTTGCTGTTTGACTATTACTTATTACTACTTGCATGCGTTTTGCACTTTGATTGTGGTGCAAGGTTTAGTTTAGAATTGCTTGCTTTGTTTCAGTTTCTTGAATGGTAAGTTGAAATGTTTGAGCGTTGCTGCATGCTGCGTTTGTGTTGAGTGATACTGCTGCATAAAATATCCATGTATATGTTATTCCCTATTCATTTTTGCTCTTTACGTTTCTGCAGTGCCCCAGCCCCCCACTATAACGCTACAGTCTCCTAAAGATTACATTTTCGATCCACGGGAGAACATCGTGATCCATTGTGAGGCCAAGGGGAAGCCACATCCCAGGTAAGATACTCCCTAAGAACACAATTTAATAGTTCTTCTTCATAGTACTTCTTTGGAGTGCCTGGATTTGTTCTGTCTAAAACAATGTAATAGTTATTTGACTACTAGGACTAGACTAGATTTGATTTAGCATAGATCAGTGGTTCACAAACTCCCAGGGCCGCGTCTCAATTCTGTTTCGTCGCTTCCCTCTCCTTGATTCCTCTCCATTTTTCAGCTGTCAATCAAACGGTGTCCCAAAGAAAATCACAGAAGAAAGGATTAAACATGAGTGAGGCTTCAGAAGGCAAACATCAGATAAAATAATTAAACTTTATTGGTCTCAGAGAGGAGTTTATATCCTCTCTCCTCCCTGTGTCTCCTCTGTGGGTGGGACTTCCATACCCATTTCCTGCAGAATCGAAGAGAGGAATCGAGGAGAAAGCGAGGCCCATGTAGTGTGCTATCTGTATGTCTTTTTCTTTCTGTTTTTGTTGACTTTTATGTGAAGCGTTTTGGTCAGGCTGAATTTATATGAATTATGGCTCAAACAGGTTTAATACAACTAGGTGTCAGCAATAGTGACCAGCAGTAATATTGTGTGTTTCTTTTCTTTTTTTTTTTTCTTCATTATCTTGATAACAATATGATATTTTAACAAGCCATGTGCATCAAATTTATACTAAAAATTTACACAAAACTGCACAAAACATGAATAGACCGTCATATTAACCACAAAAGTGCATAAATATAACTTTAAACCCTTGTGAGATTACACTACACACTACACTACTTGATTGATAGCAAAAGGAAGCAAATAAGAGAGCAACTGTATAGCAAGATATAGCAAAGTACAGCACAAACTAATTATCATTATTCGTGTATCTGCGCAGAGTTAAACATTTAAACTTCTTTTAAAAGTGGAAGAGAGTGGTGCATAATAGTCTTAATTATAGATATATTCTAGATAGATTTATTTTTGCATATCTCCAAAATAACAATAATATATCTCTCATCTCTAAATAATGCTGCACTCTTGTTCTAGTTCTAAATAGTTTTGTATTGTGTACTTTAATCTGAGTTATAGCCTATTATTGTAAGTCAAATTGTTTTAATATAGTAGGCTTTACATATTTAATCACTGCCCATAAACATCTACATATTCTAAATCTAGATCCTTGGTCCTTGAACAACTCAATACTGTAAATGAATGCTTTTGTTATTGATTTTAGCTTCTCGTGGACAAGAAATGGCACCCACTTTGACATAGAGAAGGACCCCAAGGTCACTATGAAGCCCAACTCTGGGACGCTGGTGATAGACATCAGTGGGGAGAAAGCAGAGGCCTATGAGGGGACATACCAGTGTACCGCCCACAATGACCATGGCACCGCTGTGTCCAACAACATCGTCATCCGCCAGTCCAGTGAGATATCTCATTTAGCTGAATTATGAGTTTTAAATGTGCCCTCTTCTTACCTGTGCAGTAAGACATCTGATACTGCCTCTGTGACTCGCAGGGTCCCCCTTGTGGTCAAAGGAGAAAGATAAGAAAATCGTGGTGCAGCTCGGGATCTCCCTGGTGCTGCAGTGTAGGCCACCGGCAGGACTCCCCCCTCCCATCATAATGTGGATGGACAACAGTAAGTCAGCTGAGATTTTTTGTTGTATCCTGAAACTGTGAAATATTTTGGAAAATAAAGGTGGACTATGCAACATTTGTAGTGGAGGGTCTGCCAAGTGTTTGTCTTCATGGAGATGTTATTGTTTTGACTATAATGTTCTGCAGTATAGCATTAAGCATATCTTAACAAACACAATATCATCCAGCTGCGGACACAAGTGGTGTTGTCGCGCTATGGACACAAACGGGCATGTAGATGTACTGTATATATGTCTATCATTGAGAATTGAGTAGTAAAAGCAGGAGCTTCAAGTCCTTAGCCGTCACTGAACGTCACTTAGTAAAATGTGCAGAGCATTGTTTTACTTCCAAAAATAGCTCATGTCCCCTTCCGAAAAAAACAAAACAAAACTATATTGTACTGTGTCCCGCAGCACCACATATTAAATTATGGTAATTTTGTTGGGTGCCTCCATTAAGTTATACCTTTAAATCACTGCCATTATGCAGTCATTTTCCCCCTAAAAATATCCTGCTCTTGATGCAATGGTCAGAATGTGACTAAATCAAAATGAAATGTAAATAGTTGTAAATTAATCACAGATCATTATATTCCTGTAAGGTTCACAGTGTCATGGTAGAAGACTGGACCATTATTTGATTTTGTGTTTTGATGATGCTTTTTGCTGTTTACTGCTGCTCTTATTGCAACAGTGTTTTAATATAGTATGTCTAATAATTGTTTAACATGTTTCCTTAGATTTCCAAAGATTACCTCTGAATCCGCGAGTGTCCCAGGCCTTAAACGGAGATCTGTACTTTTCCAATGTTCTTCTGAGTGACACCAGGACGGACTACATCTGCTACGCACGCTTCCCCCACACCCAGACCATTCAGCAGAAACAGCCCATCTCTGTCACTGTACTTGAGCGTAAGAAACTGCACAGAACACTGGCATCTGAGGCCATCACAATGCGCTATTGAAAGATGAAAGTTAAATCCTACATTACCAACATTTGCTTCTCCATTACTATATATTAATACTTACAATGTGATGTCTGATTTTTTGTGAGGAAGAAGTTTATATAGTATAGATAGTGGCTGTGGTAGTAGTAGTTGCTGTAGCTTTCAGGTTTCAGCTTTCTGTGTATTGGAGCCATTTTGAGGCCTTTTATCAAATCAAAAGATATATTTTTGTATTGAATACTTAATCGCTATGGCAACAGTGCTTATTTTTCCTTGCTCTGAAACCCATGAACATCTTAATTTAAGAGGCAGCTTGTGTTGTTTAGCCACGTTTTTACATGTTCACAATGTTCTATGATTTTCAGTGGAGACAATGAATGACACTGTGGCTGCTCTTTACAATATCTCTGATTACCTTAGTGGTGAGTGCTGCTGATTCACTCTCCCACAGCGCCCCCTAGTGTGAACCCAGCCCCGGTTTTACCCAACAATTATCTTTAACTCTACTCTTCACTCTGTGAGGCTAACAACTGTACCCCACAGACTTCCCACTTCATTGTATTGTTTTAGATCCAGGAATGAACTCTGTCCCAAACCTAACATTCAATATTCTGCATTACATTTTCATGGTACATAAAATTTGAATTTACTGAACTGCTTGTTCTTACTAAAGTATATGTTCTCCTCCCACACAAAAAATCAAGAATTCAGCAGCAAATCATTATATGCTGTGAAAACCTGTCCACATTCATTTGTTTTTATTTTGCAAGACATACTAAAAACTACCATAGCGTTTCAGCGAGTCAAGTTTTTCTAAATCATTTGGGCTTTATTGCTTAGTATTCCCATGACTACCCCGAATGTAAGAGAGAAAAACATAGAGAAAAAGGGTGGGGATAGAGTGGATAATGGATAAATTATAATGACGTTTACATGGAACATCCAAGGCTCTCTGATGTCTAAAAGTCCTTTAATGGATCAATGAATGGGCTGGCCAAGGACAATTTTTGGTATATTGTATTCGCATATTTTACATACACACTAGAGCCTATATGTGTAACCAGACCAGACAACCATTCACTCTATGAAACACATCACTAGCTTTCCATTATCTAATATGACCTGACATGGAGCATTACCTCTTCATTTAAATAAGAAGACATTAAAATATTGTAATTGTTCACTCTAAAATGCAATTTGCTATGACAGAAATAGTGTTATTAAAAATCCCAGAGATTATCTGAAGTGTATTAGCATGTGTAGGTGGGCAGATGGGTTAAACTGTACCCTGTAGTCACTATGGCAACTGATAGAGCATTATACACACTTCATCACTCATCTCCAGTCCCTATTGTCCTCTATGCAAAGACCCTTCATTAGTGCATTATTGCTCAGTTGACTCCATCCACGTGACTGTAACCCTCATGAAAAAAGTTAAGTGTCTATGAGTGTGGTCTGTTTGAAATGCACTGTTGTGTCTCTGTGTTTAGATAACCCAATAGGAGAGCGCAAACCTGGTTTTATGATGCCTCTTGGACCCATCAGCAACAAGATGGTCCTCAAAGGAGAGACGCTTGAGCTGGAGTGCATCGCCGAGGGGCTGTAAGTTACTTTACTGACGTCATGTAATGCTGCAATCTCCATCATATGCTACAGCAACAAAATTAAACCAACTTTTCACAAAAAATATGGAACTGTGGCTTCCTTAAAGATGCACTACACAACGTTCCGAGTGGAGAGTTCACACACCACCTGTTTGTCTTCATGAAGATGTTATATATGTGTCTACAATGTTCCATGGTAGACATTAAGTCTATCTCAAGGGAGACAACTAGGCTACATTACAGGCCAGATCTGTGGAGTCACCCATGTTCACAGAGAGAATTACTGTATTTTTGGGCAACAGAAAGATAATGAATAGATGTTAGATAGACGTGTTTAATGTCACACCATGGAATATTCCAGGCAAAGTAATAATATCTCCATAGAGACAAGTTGGTAGTGTGCCCTCCACCAGAAAACTTGGGCAGTGCACCTTTAATTAAACTGTACAATAAGGATTTGGTGCAACAGTGAATTAGGAATAGTGGCCTTATAACCCAAAATGTTAGCCAATATTACTTTCAGTTGTAGCACATTACAACAATGAAAATGAAATAGATACATGGTAATTACTGAGGACATATTTGTAATTCTACTTTATTTCATGGTAATATGATTAATCCGGATAATAATAATATAATAATAATGTATATTATATAGAACTTTTCCAGATGCTCAAAGTCGCTTTACAATTTGGTGCATTATTCATTAACTGTACTACTGTAGCCATATTTGCCCTGGGGCAGACTGATGAAAGCAAGGCTGCCAATCTGCACCATCACTCTCATCAATCTCCCGCCAACCACCAACAACACTCACGGTTATCTTCTGAGATCTAACAAGATCAGGCTTTGACAAGAAGATTTGGCCACAATCCTGATTACAATATCTACAGGGCTGCAAAGTGTATTGATTTCTCATAATATCCTGGTAAAATCATATTATATCATATTGAATAGCTAGTTGTGACAGTTGCTTATTTTTTATTTCATGGCTATATGATTAATCCTATTGTCAACCCTAACCAAACCAGTGATAGCTTTTTTCTTGGTAATGCTATTTACAAGGCTGCAGAATGTTTTGATTTTCCTGGTATTAGACAAATGCTTGAATTTGATCGAATTTCAAGTGCTAATGGACACTTCCTGTTTATTTTCGGATAGCTGATTGTGACAATTGCACATCCGGTGTCCATTACAGGCCAACTCCAAGCATCTTGTGGCAGAAGGATGGAGGAAAGTTGTCCAAAACAGTCTCTTTCCAGAACTTCAATAAAACTCTGAAGATTTCTGATGTGAGTGAAGCTGATGCAGGAAACTACCGCTGTATAGCCAATAACAGCCATGGCTCTGCGTACCACATCATCAAAGTCACTGTGAAAGGTAATGCATGCAGACTAGTACTTATAGCAGTATTTCGTATGCATTTTAGGGAGAAAAATGGTGCAGTGCAGTTTGAAAAATTATGAGTGATTTGACCTGTGTTCACGACAGTTTATAATACCAAGATATACTGTATGTATGTATGTATGTATATATATTTTTTCCAAGAATTAGATTTTCCTTTTAATAATTTGGAAAGCAATCTATCCTATTACCAAAATCCTACTTGCTAAAACTAAATATTGATAGAGTTATGACCCAGCTCTTTTAGTATGTAGTAATAAGTTGCTAAGCTGTGATGATTATTCGTCCGTCAAATGCTTTTCTCCATGAAGATGTTGTTTCTTTGTCTGGAATGTTTCACAGTATATGTCATTAAACCTTTCTGTCTTGATGGAGACCAAACCAGAACAAGTTACTGGTCAGATCTGTGAAGAGGCAACCCCACTCACAGTCAGAATTTCTAGGTATTTCCCAGCTATAAAACCATCTGTAATTTAATAATTGCAAGGTAGAGCTGTTTAATGCTATACTGTGGAACAATGACATATCCATAGAAACAAACAAAAAGTTACATAGCGCATCTTTAACATTTGTCTATTTGTTTTTCACAGCTGCCCCTTATTGGATCAGCGCTCCCCGGAATCTCATCCTTGCTCCAAATGAGACTGGAATTTTGACCTGCCGTGTAAGCGGAGACCCCAAACCAAACATCACCTGGTTCGTCAATGGAGTCCCTTTACAAAGTGAGTACAGCGCTAAAATAAACCAAATACACCTAAACACAACATGGAGTAGGGTATGTTCTCAAGTACTTTGGGAGTTGAGGAGCTATATTTAAATCTGGTTTAAGGACCGGGACAGAGTGAGAGAGGTTTTTGTTTATGGGCTTGAAGGTACATTGTGTAAATTTCTCGTTGGGGGGTCTGTCTCCTGCTTGTTTCTATGGATATGTCACTACTCTGCCTGGAATGTTCCACAGTATGGCATTAAACAGCCCTTCCTTACATTAAATTACAGGTGGTTTTATAGCTCAAAAGTACAGGAATTCCGACAGTGAGCGGGGTTGCCTCTTCACAAACCTGTAACTTGTTCTGGTTTGGTCTCCATGAAGATATAAAAAATATATTGTGAAACATTCCAGACAAAGCAATAATGTCTCCTTGGAAAAGTTACACAATGTACCTTTAAGGCAAATTAGAAGCATTTTGTGAGGACCTTTCCCATATAAAAGATATAATATGATGATTTGCAGTGTGTTATTACTGTAATTATGGAGGACCAATTCCTTCAAATCAGGAAGGAATCCTTTGCCGGAAACCCATAAATGCAGAGTGCTTAGCTAATGAGCAAAATGCTTTCTGTATAATTGTCTTTCTGTTTTAGATGCACCAGATGATAGCAGTCGAAAGATTGAAGATGATACTGTGATTCTGAGCAACGTCCAAACGGGGTCCAGCGCTGTTTATCAGTGTAATGCCTCTAATGAGTTTGGATACGTCCTGGCCAACGCTTTTGTCAATGTACTCGGTATGTGCATATACTAGTCCATCACAAATAATTTGAATATCATGGTAAAAAATTCCACTCATTTCAGAAAGTCAAACCCATATATTATATTGTGTCGTGACACATGAGTTTTTCTATTACACCTGAACAGTGCCACAGGGTAATCTCCTCCATGCCACGGCGCATTTATGCAGTAATTGATGCCAGAGGAGGCCCAACCAAGTATTGAGTGCATAGAAATTAATATTTTAAACCAGGTGTCTCCAACCTGTAGCTCAGGAGCTACCAGTAACTCTCCACCCCCTTCCAAGTAGCTCGCCAAGGGATTTCAGAATAATACGTATTGTGCTGAATAACTAAAATTTGATTTAATTAAATGTCTATCATTGTAAATGTATAATTTTGATGCCTATCTTTATGCACTAATAAATGGATAATAATTGTGTAAATGTTTTATAGGCATCAAACTGTACCCCATCTAAAGGCTCTTATATTTACTCAGTTTCTTGCGACCACTAAAATGAGTAGCTCTTTGATATTTCCATTTTGTAAAGGTAGCTCACCAGAAGGAAAATGTTGGAGACACCTGCTTTATACTTTAAATTACATACTTTTCAGAAGCGTGACATTTATGTTTAAAATATGATCTTATGCAATTTTGTTTCATTAGCTGTAAGCCACAATCATACAAATTCAAGAAATAAAGTATAAAAATATTTCACTCTTATGTGCCATGAGTCTATATAATGTTTGGGTTTGACTTTCTGAAATGAGTGCCAAAAAGATTTTTTCATGATTTTCTAATTTTATGTGATGTACTAGTAAGTTTGAATGTCAAGTCCCCTCTATATAGTATTCTGATCTACTACTAAATATTTGTTTTAATAATGTAACAATTTTTTTCTACAAAGCTGAGCCTCCAAGAGTACTGACTCCACCAAACAGAATCTACCAGGTCATCACTAACAGCCATGCACTGCTGGACTGTGCCTCTTTTGGCTCACCTATTCCCACTATCACATGGTAAGTGTTCAGATGTCCCCTAATCTATATTGTCTATTTATTATTTAATTATTTATTTGTTTATTCATCAGGGACAATGCACATAAAAACCTTGACGTACACAAAGAGGTAACAGGTCAAAAATACCACAATTGACATGCATGCTTTTCTGTTCAGGTTTAAAGACAATCACATCAGCATCAAGACGGGTGACTCTCATGTGATTCATGAAAATGGTACATTGGAAATCCATGTAGCACAGCCAGTGAACAGTGGAAAGTACACCTGCATCGCCACCAACAACCTGGGCATCAAGGAGAACCATGTTTTTCTGGAGGTCAAAGGTCAGTTACCACAAAATAAAACTCAAGACTCAAAACTAAAAGATCAATTCGTATAAAAAAAATAAACAATGCTTTTTTTGTTTGTTTGTTTAAAATGTAAAATAAAAAAACACCAGGTGCATTGCGCAACTTTTCTGGTGAAGGGTCCATCACCTGCTTGTCTTCATGGAGATGTTAATGTTTTGTATAGAATGTTCCATGGTAGAAAAACGTATCTATCTCAAGGGAGACAACTATAGGCTACATTACAGGTCAGATCTGTGGAGAGGCAATGCTATTTACAGATAGAATGATTGCATTTTTGAGCAACAAAAATACCCATGATGGATAAATGCTGGATAGATGTTTAATGTTGTACCATGGAGACAAGCTGGTGGTGGACCCTGTACTGGAAAAGTTGCACAGTGCACCTTTAAATTTGATCAGTAATTTATTTTGATAAAATTAACTAAAATAAATAAATTGTGTTTTGTGTTTCGCAGTGCCCACCCGTATTCTGAAACAGCCGGAATACAAGGTGGTCCAAAGGGGAATGAAGGCAGTTTTTGAATGTAAAGTGACGTACGACCCTTCGCTCAGTCCCATCATGACATGGCTCAAAGACAACACAGCACTTCGTGAGGACAACAGGTGGGACGCTGTATCTCTAACATGCATGTTGGAGATAATAGGATGAATAAGTCTGATTGTTCAAGTATAACATTATGACCAACTGAGAAGGCCTTGAACTCATGAATAACTATAAACCAGATATCAACCTAAGATATATGGATGTAAAAAACAAAATTTAGGGCTGGGTATCATTAAGAAGTTGCTGATACGATACATACATCTCTCAATATATAGGCCACAATACTGTACGTATCCCAATACTGTGCTTTTTTTGATCTGATACAATATGTGATGCGGTTCAGTAAAAAAATAAAAACTAAATCATGGTTTTGAAGCTAAAAGTCTTTGTTAAAACACTACCTGTGCAAAGTTAATATGAAATACACCCATTTTAATCATCAACAGTGAATATGTCAAATGTGTTGCATAAACAAGTTTGCCTCTTATACAAGCAACAAAATTGTAGCGCTGTAACAAAATAATTTTGTGAAATATATCAAAAAATACCCTTGGTGACATATCAATACAGCAGCACACAATATCGATACTGTATCATAACATTAAACGATATGATAAATTGATATTTTGATATTTATGCACACCCCTAGGCATATTACCTGGCCTTCACATTATAAACTATGGGCAGTTTAGAATGTTAAGATGTAATTTGAACAGAACATATTTTGAGATCACTCAAGGTTGTCTTCAGTTCATGTGGATTGCCTGACTATACTACAGTTTGATCTCATTAAAAGTGACATTTCCTTTGAACTGTTGTGCAGGTTTGTGGTGGGAACTGACAGTCTAACCATCAAAGATATAATCGATGAAGACGAGGGCACCTACACCTGCTACATGAACACCACCCTGGACCATGACTCAGCCAGCGCCATGCTCACTGTCGTAGGTGAGGTTTTCACAAACGAAACTGGACATACACACACAGCCATAAACATATTGACCCTTAAGAGAAATAACTTTATTATAAAGTAAGTTTAAATTATAATACAGTGTAGTGGTGGAACGTAATGAAGTAAAAGTAGTAAAGTACTGTACTTAAGTATCTGTTTTAGGTATCTGGGTTTTAACGTGGATACTTTTTACTTTTACTTCTTACTACTTATTTGAGAGCAGGTATCTGTGCTTTCTACCACACTACATTGTTTAATTGGACTGAAAAGTAAAATTATTTTTTGTTCTTGTCTGAGACCTGCTGAAAAGTCTTAGTGGTTTATTTTTAATATGTTAATTGTTTGAGCAAGCAAAAATAAGAAAAATGGATGTCTGTATAAGCGCAAAATACTTTTTCCTTTTTTTACAATTTAAGTACATTTCATAGTTTATATATACTTGTACTGTGTAGATTTTTTCATGTGAAGAGTATAATTGAGTATTTTTTTTGCTCTGGTATCTGTACTTTTATTTAAGTAACAAAAGTTCTTCCACCACTGATACAGTATGAATACTAATAGTTGGTCTAAAAATGTTTGAATACAGTCTATGGTCCATAGTATTCTCTAATCCTGTTCCAAACTTGACTTTTTTGCTTCTTGCTCTCTCAGAGGCCACTCCTACTCCACCCATTATATACGGTAAAGGATCCCTGTGCATTTTACAGCACAATATTCTACCCCATTTCTCCAACTCCATTCAAACCATTTAACTTAATTTGAGTTTTATATTTTGTTATTATCCATTCATTGTTATCTGTTTGGAAGTGTTTTTTAATTTTTCTGTTTTATTGTTTTTTTTCTGTTTTATTTTTCTTCATGCCATGAAATATATATGTTTATGTTTGATTTCATAATTATTTATCGTTGTCTTGAAGTTACATAAAAGCAACACTATGTAGTTTTACAAACACCTGTTTTTAAAAGGTGACAGGTTTGAGTTTATAACTTAAAGACATAAACAATTGGCTGATTTTTTGAGGAAAAAATAAAACTTTTGTTAATTCTTAAAGGTACCTAGTGTTGCTTTAAGTATCTCAATATTATTTTCACATTGCATAAAGTATATACCCTTTCATTTTCAGCTTTGTAAAAATAGCTGGAGGTACAAACACTGGGACATTTGTTGATGTTTTCTGCTGTGTTCACAGAGAGACCGGATCCGCCGACCGACTTGGAGATGACGGGACAGAAGGAGAGGAGTGTGGAGCTCACATGGACCCCGGGGGACGAGCACAACAGCCCCACTCAGAGTACGACTATACTGCTAATGCCGATGTTAATACTAAAAAGGACTTTCAAAATACACCACAAAGGCCTAATAGATTCCACATGCTAAGAACAACTTATGCCTGCACTGAAAAGCACAAAAACCTTAAACCTGGTGTTAAAGAGTTTTGTTGAAAGTGCAAAACTGTCATTTGAAATAGCAATCACTTTTTTTTATTTATTTACTTTTTTCTCATATGTTTTTCCAGAGTTTATCATCCAGTATGAGGACCACCTTCACCAGCCTGGGGTGTGGGTGAACCTGACGGAGGTGCCTGGGACTAGCCCCACAGCTCAGTTAAACCTGTCCCCATACGTGTACTATTCCTTCAGGGTCCTGGCTCTGAATGGGGTGGGCTACAGTGACCCCAGCCAACCATCTCGCCAGTACAGGACCAACCCAGCAGGTAAAGACTTGCCCACATAACTGAATAAATAGTCAAATTAAAGGGTCACATTTCTTATTAGAAGCATTTGTTATTATAATATATTGTGATGTGTGGTAATTTCTCTTGTGGATCAATAAAGTCTGTCTAAATATAAGTCTGTTAAGTCAATGCAAAAATCAAACTGTTTATGTAGTTTTCTCAGAAGTGATCAGAGTAGCCAAAAATAGACAAACTCAAGTACAAAACAAGTAGAGATACAAAATAGTGGTCCAAGAAATTCCTGAGTAATTGTCTTAACGCAGGATCTCGTTTATATTTTGAGGTTAATTTAATTAGAAAGACAATGCTTCTTTCACAAATGCACTATTTTTTGCTGTATTTTCAAAAGATGTACCTTAAAAAATAAGAAAAGTAATTAGATATATTGGTTTGTTTGTTAAATTTTGTTTATTTTTTATGGTTTCAATGTTATAGCTCCTGATGTGAATCCAGCAAATGTTCAAGGCGAAGGAACTGAACCGGGGAACTTGGTCATCTCTTGGACTGTGAGCGCTTTATTTCATTATTTTAAATTAACTCCATTTCCAATTATAATCTCAAAACATCTGTCTCCTTGCAGCCTCTGACAGGTTTCCAGTCCAACGGCCCTGGTCTGGAGTACAACTTGCAGTGGAGACAGAAGGGTGTGGAGGAGGAGTGGTCCACTAAAACTGTAGCAAATGTCTCTCAGTTTGTCGTGACTGGGACCCCCACCTTTGTACCCTACGAGATCAAAGTTCAGGCTGTCAATGACTATGGTCCTGGTCCAGACCCTGATGTGGTGACTGGATACTCTGGAGAAGATGGTAAGAAATTCAGGTGTGAGATTTTGTGCCAGTATGTCTCTAGATAATAACTATTTGATCTTTTTTTTTTTTTTTATTTTAGTACCGTTGACTGCCCCTGACAATGTAAAGGTCACGATCCATAACAGCACTTTAGCAGAGGTGCAGTGGGAGCCTGTGTCTATGCCTTCAGTTCGGGGTAAACTCCAGGGATATAAGGTAAACTAACAACACAAAAAACATTATTCAACAACACAAAAACCACTCAAAAAACATAATTTTAATTGATGATTATTTCAATAGTGTCTGAATGTAAGTGCCGTCCTCTCTCCACTGACCTGTAACTTGGTCTGGTGGTGTCGCCTGCTTCTCTCCATGGAGATATATAAGTTTACTGCTATATTAAGGAATATTCCAGGAAACATTTCTATGGAAACAAGCAGATTGCTGACCCCCCAACTGGAAAATTACAAGTGCACCTTCAAATAAAACAGATCTTTCACTGTTTGAACTCAGAAAAGATAGTATAATATTGTGAATTATAATAAGTCATGATGCATGTATAACTCAGATTGGTAGTGGTGGATAAAGTACTAAATTTTGTTACTTAAGTAGAAGTACAGATACAAAGGTAAAAAGTTACTCAAGTAAAGGCAAAAGTATCACATGAAAAAAATCTACTTAAGTATATGTATTTAAGTGCCTGTTTTAAATGATACTTTAAGAGTAAAAAAGTAAAAGTAAAGCACGAATTAAAAAAATTGTCAGGATGCTAACACAAACATAAAAAAAAAAAAAAATGAAATAATTTCTTTTTACTTTTCAGTCCAGTTCAAAAATGTAGTGAAGTAGAAAGTACAGATAAATGCTCTAAAATGCAGTGAAGTAAAAGTAAAAAGTATCCACTGTAAAATGTACTTAAGCATAGATATCTAAAAATTCTATATAAGTACAGCACTTTACTACTTGTACTTCTTTATCTTCCACCACTGCAGAATGGTAATAATGAAACTGTGTGCAGATGTATATTCATAGAAACAAGCAGGTGACAGACCCTCCACCAGAAAAGTTACACAATGCACCTTTAATTATCCAGACTGGTAGTAATGAAACTGTGTGTAGGTGTATTTCCGTCGAGAGCGCGGCCTTCTTGAGTCAGAGGAGGAGCCTGAGTCGGAGCAGGAACAGTTTCTGATGTTCAGCGGAAACAGGAGTGAGGGGCGCCTGCCGGGACTCCAGCCCTTCAGCCAGTACCACCTCTACATCAAAGTCCTCAACAGCAAAGGAGAGGGTCCGGCCAGCTCCAGCGAGACCTTTGGGACCCCGGAGGGAGGTGGGTGCTGCTAAAGATGGCTGACAGGGCTGTTTTTCTGCTCCCCAGCATTAGTCTGTATTAATTATGGCTTATTTGAAACCAGTCTCTTGCTATTTTTGCTACTTATTTAGAATTTAAAAATGGGTAAAGTTTTTGTTTTAGTAGGAAAGTAGTTATGTAATTCTCATTTTATACATAAAGTAACAGATTAGCCTGAAATTGCAATTATTATCATGTATCCTGTGTATTTTCCAGTCCCAGGACGTCCTTCCTTTTTGAATGTGGTCAATCCCGGTTTGGACTCTCTGACTCTGGAGTGGGGACCCCCTCAGCGCCACAACGGCCGACTACTGGGATACACACTCAAATACCAACCAGGTATTGTAACCTATTATCCCTAATAACCCTCATTTTCTTTGCCTGCTGCTTTTTCAAATAATCATATCTTGTCTTTGCAGTTAACAGCACCAGTGAACTAGGGCCCATCAAAGTTATGACCCTCCTTCCCAACGAGACCACCGTCATTTTGAGTAGCCTAAACTCCAGCATGCTCTACAAGTTTTACCTGAGTGCCAAGACTGTTATAGGATCAGGACCAGACATTTCAGAGGAGGCCTTCACAGTTATGGACACAAGTGAGTACAGCTGTTTCATTAAAGGATGGGTCATAGGTATTCCAGTGTTTAGATATTTAAATACTCAGGGTTTACTCATGTTACTTATCACATAGTACATACAAGATATGAGATTTTTGTAAACCTTAGCTATCTGACTTATTTTTTCTGGTGCTTCATTGATTATAAGTCAGTTAATGGGTTTCAGTTTCCTGGTATATGATGCCATTTTGATCATTCACGTAATTGACTTCAAAATGAACTTGAATGGTAAATAAAAAAGGGACACCATGTACATTTTTTAAGGTTGAGGATCCAAAATCTTCAATCAAGGTCGAAAGGTTAAACTCCAGGGATCTCTGTGAAGTGAAATAGCATAGATAGTTCTGATGTGGCAACCATTTTGAACATTTTAAATATTTCTTACACTCAACACACTGCTCCTAAAATACACTTGGTACTTTCTTTTCTCTTTCTCTCTGAAGCTCGTACTAAGACCCCTGTAGTAACGGTTAAAGGTAACATCACAATGCCAATGCCAATGGAAGTATCTGCATGTACTACACTGCCACAAGAAACTGAGCAAATAATAGAACTGTATTTCTCTTAAATCCTGCATGTGTAAAAGACTTCCATGGCAATTGCCTCGTTTGCCTCCTATTCTATATGAAAGAATAGGAAGTACCATAGTTTAAAGGTGCACTATGTAACTTTTAGTTTGGGGTCTGTCACCTGTTTGTTTCTATGGATATGTCAATGCTCTGCCTGGAATTTTCTACAGTATGACATTAAACAGCTCTACTTTACATTTATTCAGTTTTAGGTGGTTTTATATCTCAACAATACTTAGAAAAATGGACATTCTGACTGTGAGAGGTGTCGCCTCTCCACAGATCTGAACTGTAACTTGGTCTGGTTTGGTCTCCATGGAGATAGAAATGTTTAATAGCATACTGTGAAACTAGACAAAGGCATAACATCTCCATGAAACATTTGACGGACCCTCCGCCAGAAAAGTTACACAATACACCTTTGATATATAATTAATGCTTGCAGCTTGGTATTATCTCTTGGTAGTAGCTCTCTTCAAATGGACATGTTTCATTTGAAGCCTCGCTTGTGGCTGCTTTGTTAGCATTGTATTAATACCTTATTCTAATCTCAAACTAACCCATAAATAAGTCAGATTATGTCCTTTAACTTTTAACCAGCTAATGCATAAAGTGTTATTCAAACCTGACAGGATCTAAAGATGCATGCAGACAAGCTTCTGTACAAAACTGTGCTTTTTCCTATAAGTATCTACTTTATCAACAACTTTAAATAGCAACCAATAGCATACTAAAATATTTGACACTGAAACCAAATACCACAGGTACTAATTTGACCATTTTTCATTAGAAAGCACAGTTTTTGGGCAGCGTACTCTTAGCAGAGCATGATTTTATTTATTTATTTCTCACGAACACAGTCTCTTTCTCTGGTACATGTTTCTGGGATGTCTCACTCTCTTCATGTTCTTTCAGGCCCCACAGTGCCCCCTCAACCCCCAACCTCCCCCATCACACAAGCTCCGCCTCCCACGTCGCATAAGGGTACAGCACTGTGCCCACTTTATACCCCAAACACTAAACCTGACCAAGACAATCCTCTCATACATATTTAAAGGTCCTATATTACGCAAAATTATCTCTTGTGAGCTTTGGGACATGTTGTTACCTCCTCAAAAACAAACCTGGAGTTGTGTTTTGTTTCATTCACGTGTGTTTGAGTAACTTTGTATTATTAGTCTGTCTGCATCTCTAAAGCTCCAAATGCTCTGTTCCACTTTGTGATGTCGTGAAGCGGTAGTTTTCAAGTTATCAACTACCTTTTACCTTTAGTTCAGTAGAGTTTGGCAGTTTCCTGTTTGAGAGAAGAACTAAATATGCAAGTTAAAGGTCTATTAAACATGTGTGAATGAAACAAAACACAACTCCACGTATGTTCGTGATGAGGAAACATTAAAATGTAGATCAGAAAAAAGCACAATACAGGCCCTTTAAATGACTCAACATTGTACTGCCAATTGCATACTCAAACTGGTGTAAACTGTTTTTTCATTATATATTTCCTTTAGATCTGTGCATATTAATTCATGTGTTAGGAGGCAGCTCCAGCAAAAATATTATTAGCACAAAAATTTGCTAAATTTCATCCATTATCTTAAGGCTGGTTAATAGATGAAGCATTGAATGAGACACTTAAGTTGACATTATATCAGTGGTGGATAAAGTAATCGATTTTGTTACTTAAGTAAAAGTACTGCTACAGAGGCAAAAAGTTAATCTACTTGAGTTAAAGTATTAAATTTCCTGTTTAAAAATGTACTTTAAGAGTAAAAAGTATTTTTGCTGAGATTTTTAGAACAATTTAAGAATGAAATGTAGTGATTTTTATAAAGCATTTGGCAATTAGTTATTCAAATCAAATTGATTTTTAAAGCTTTTTTGTGTTCGCTCAAATTAAATGTGCTAAAAATAACATTCAGCCATTTCAGCAGGACTCAGACACCATCAAGAAAAGTATGTTTTACTTTTCAGTTCAGGTAAAAAGGTAAACTGTAGTGAAGTAGAAAGTACAGATACATGTTCTCAAATGTAGCGAAGTAAAAGTAAAAATTATCCACTGTAAAATACCTAAAATACCTAAAATGTGTAAGTTTTGTACTTCGTTATCTTCCACCACTACATTAAATATATTACCCCTATTAATAGACAATTGACTCATATCCTGACAACACATCTGAGACATTACAAAGAAAACCAAGACTACTTATATTACTACTACTACTAATATTGCATTGACTATCACAAAACAAAACAATGCTTTTCTCTCTCTCCCATGTCTAGCGCCCCCTCTTGGTCCAACCTTTGGCACTGTTAACACATCTGTCTCTGAAGAGGGCGCCGTGATCAGTTGGGAATACTTTGGACACCACAAAAATGTTTATGTGGAATACATTATAGAAAATAGTAAGAGTTAAAAACAAAATTGCAGTGATTTTTCAATTTCTGCTTTGTAATATGAGCTGATGTGGTCCTGTAGGTAAAGATGACTGGAAAAAGGAGTTGGTAAATGGTTCTCACTCACATATGCTAAAAGGGTTAAAGCCAGGATCGACCTATAGGGTGCGTGTGGTAGCTCGGGACCCCTCGGTATCCACGGCCCACTTCACTGAAGAGGTGGAGGTGGCGGTGCCAGGTGAAGTGGCATGGCTTCATAGATGGTTGTCCTGTAGTAATCACATTTTACTTTTATTTTGTTATTTCTCCTCATCCTTTTTTTTCAGTTTAGTGTCATTGTCAGAATTGTCCTGGCATGATTGTACTGCAGAGGTGGGGATTTGCAAGTCGTGACTTGGACTCGAGTCACTATTTTTAGAACTTCAGACTTGACTTGATAAAATGGACTAAGACTTGGGACTTGACTCAGACTTGAGGCCTGTGACTTGGGACTTGACTCGGACTTGAGGCCTCTGACTTGAGAAGACTTGAGAAGCACTTTTAAATCTGAATTCTTTCTATCCTGTATCCTGACTGTAATGATTCACTCTAAGATTTTGTCAAGACATGTAAAAAGAAAAAAAAAAAAGCATTTCTACTACTCTTATAAACTCTATAAATACTCATATATGAACTATGAATGCTATGACTTTATAAGTACAATTTATCTTAAAATTCATATAATTGCAAAAATGTAAGTACTTTGGTTTAAAGACTTGAAATAACTTGAAGCCCAAAGCAGCCGACTTGGACTTGACTTGGACTTATGGGCCAGTGACTCGAGACTCGACTTGGACTTGCCTGTATTTGACTTCGGACTTGACTCGGACTTGAGTTCAAAGACTTGAGACTTACTTGAGACTTGCAAAACGACGACTTGGTCCCACCTCTGTTGTACAGTAGTGTAAATATTAGAGCTGCACAAATTCAAGAGGTTTTTTTTTTTTTTGGTAAGATATTTGCTTTATAAAGTTGGACTGATATAACTTATTGTACTAAAATAATTCAATTTTAAAATACAGTGGTAATATGTTATTCTTTTTTTGTCAGATTCATTTTTTTTTAAGATAAAGGACATTTATTTGCCTTTGTGAGATTGTGCAGCTCTAGATAGTTGATGTAGTTACACAGAGACCGAGCATGAAAACTCTAGATACTCCAGATTATGCATGTATCCTTAATCATTATTTCAAAGGCAGTTTTTTAATATTTATTTTTTGCTTTATCTTTTACTTTTCAGTGCTTACACCATCCCTGACCATTAACCCATCATAATTTCTTTTCACAGTTTATTTTGATCCCATCCATTTGTGATTTTAAACCTAAATATATTGGTAACTGTGTAATAATCTCACTATAATGTCCTTTCTCACTCTCTGTACACAGCGGTGGCCAGTCGGCAGGTGGATATAGCCACACAGGGCTGGTTCATTGGACTCATGTGTGCTATAGCCCTCCTCATCCTGGTGCTCCTCATCGTCTGCTTCATCAAGAGGAACAAAGGAGGAAAATATCCAGGTATCTCAGTTATAGGACTGTAGGGCTGTATGTAATACCACAGGAATACTGATACTGCAATACTGGCTTAAGACATAAAATAAATATATAACAGTTTTTATCTGACAGAAATGTACCTTTTTTGAAAGTATAGTGAAAAAAGCAGATATTAGTTAAGCATTTTCCTAATTTATGCTTGTTTTGGTCTTTGTTTTGGTTTGTGAAGTTTTTTTTTTTTTTTCTTTTTTTGGACACAGTCTATTATATTAAGTATATATATATATATTTTGTTTTTCATTTTATTCAGCTGAACTTATTGTTAAATTATTGTTAAAACGTATATTAAAATATAGGGGTGTAACATAATATATTACAAAATATTGTAATATCGTATCTTCAAAACTCTCAGTAATATTGTGGGCCATCACAATATATCACAAGTGTTTTTTGCTTAAATTTATTGTTATGGTGCAGAAATAGCTAAAATAACAGAGGGAACTACATCTTTGCTCCATTTTGGTGCAAACTACATGAAAAAATAGTAGTTCTAAGCACTTTTAAATCTTCGGTCTTTGAATTAAGTCTTGTCAAGGCAAAGAAGCGTATTCACAATTTTGTTAACCTCCACAAAATATCACAATAAATACTGTATCATGAGATGTATATCATCAAAATATTGTACCGTGAGATTTGGATATCGTTACATCCCTATTAAAATATAATTATCATTATATCTTTATCGCATTACAAAACATAGTTGCTGAATATTGCAATTTTTTCACATATCACAGGCCTACTTTTGTGTAATTAGAATTGAAAAGTAAGCTATGATTATTGTCTGATTTTATAGTAAAAGAGAAAGAAGATGCACACCAAGACCCAGAGATTCAGCCCATGAAGGAGGACGACGGCACATTTGGAGAATACAGGTGAGCAAAACTATATTACATTTACTTTAAGTCAGGCTGGTTACTCAGAGTAGATTTTTGTATATTCATCCCTAATCTGACTGTGTACTGTTGTGTGTAGAACATTTTACCAAGAAGCAGAGATACACGCCCCTCCAGACACCTTTACCAAACAGTGAGGCAAGAGTAATTACCAGCGATAAATTAACCCAAAATAATGCAGTCATTTTTAACATCTCTGCTCTGTAATTTACCCAAATGTACTAAAATACCATTTTCTGTAGCAGCAACTAAACAATACTGGGCCTGTCACGATAATTACTATATTGATTTATCGTTCACTACATGACATTTCCGGGAGTCAGTATTCATTGTGTGTTTCATTTCTTTGCACAAGTAGGAATTATTTTGTTATTTTATGGCAATGCAATAACTTTTGAGTTGTAGATGGCCAACATAGATACAAACTAATTACTAAAGTGTCTGCTGTTTATTTATTGCAGGTAATTATACAAATTTTGTACATTTACAATAGTTTTTTGGGATACTCTTGCTGTAGGGTTATCATGTTTCAATATTATCGTTTATTTATATGTCTGTTTTAACGTATAAGCAATATATCACACATCAAACTATGTTATTGTGACAGGCCTGAACATAACACAACGTAACTATGATAGTTGTTTCTTCATTTTCAGCATAACTCTAATAGCGGCTGGTATGGTCCATCAGTGTCTGTGTTTATTAGAGATGGAACAGTAATCGTTGATGCATCTCATTTATTGATTTATATCTGTCCTTTCATTCACATCTTATTGGGATTCAGGTCTATGGAGAGGTAAGACAACATGTGGTTCAAAATTGCAGCATGTAATTCACGCAAACTCCTGCTGGCTGTTAAACTGTTAATATTATCATAGAGGTAAAGATTTACACTAAAACTTTAATTATAGTTATTTAGCACACTAATGATAACCAGTACTGCACTGAAAAGGCTGCTTAACCTTTCTGGCTTCTCTCATACTTAACTTTTGCATAGGTGTGTGATTATGTTGAATACAAGGCTTGCAATTATTTCCCCAAATGTACACAAGCTAAACCTGGTGCCATTAAATATTTACTAATACATACATTTAAGGGCTAACTTGCTGTAGATTCTTATTTTTATTTGTAGTTTTAGTAGCATCATTTTGCTTGAAGTAATGCTCAAACAGACCAGTAATCACTGTATGTTTCATTAACCGAATTTCATGTGTCCTTCATTTATTTCTTGTTGGGATTCAGGTCTATGGAAAGGTAAGACCACATGTGGTCTAAATAACAGCATGTACTTTACACAACCTCCTCTAACTCAGTGGTTCTCAAACTGTGGTGTGTGGTGTGCTTCCTCTGGTCTTCTGTCTTTGGATAAATTTTATATATAGGCAGTTAGTTTTTTAGGCTTAGATTAGTCCTAAAGTCATAAAGTGCTGCTTTAATTGTTCCAGGTCCAAATCTACTTCTTTAGACCATAGTCCTGGTTTGTTTGTGGTGTTAGTCCATGGTTCTCTAAGTTCAGTATATTGAGTATAGAGAGCTGCATTTAATAATAAAAAATATTGCAATATATTGACCGACATAGACTGGTTAATTAAGTCATGTGGGTTTTTGTTTTACTGAACAATAATATGGTTATTGCCATTTAAAAAAAAAAAAAAAAAAAAAGTTACATAGTTATCAAGTGTTCCAGATCTTCTTATATTTACAGACCTAGTATTACACACCTACTTTTTCTGAGGTTGTACTTGGTCTGAAAAGTTTGAGAATCACTGCTCTGAAACTGAAACATAGGCATGGTGATGAAACTGCATAAAACAGCAACAACAAAATATTCTTGGGTACAGTAATAATTTTCTACAGTACTTAACACAAGGTTTGTGAATACTTTGAATGCAGGGCTTGCAAATGAACTCACTAATGCACAAAATGACTTTATTCAAAAGGATTTCTGCCTGGAGACTGTGGACGACTGCATTTCTGAATAACGCATGTAAACAATTCTGTAAACAGCGAGAGTGAATGGCACGTGCACATGAAGCCATAGTCACTAACCCTGACCCATGCAGCTACCAGGCTCTCCCTTCAGAGCTAACTAACGTCTAGAGCTGATCCACTGCACTGTACTTTTAATATGGTTTAACATAGGTAAACTTCAGCATTTGTATCAGTGCTTTCAAGATCTGAGCCAGACATGCTATTGGGGGAACCATATTGGGAAAAAAATGTTTATGGGAAAATTAGATGTTGCAAGAATCACTATATCACTCTTTTTGATTTAAAATTTTTAGACATATGTGTAGCTTTTTCCCCAAAGCTGCATGCCATTTGAAAAAGCAATCTCCTGGTTTTAGGATGCATGCCATAGACTGTATATGGGTACTTGACCTGACTTTTTCTGCCCTTTTTGTGTCTAATCACTTTAAACAATTTTCTAAATAATGTTTTTCTTCCTCCAAAATTCAACTCAACTCTACGTAAGTACCATATTTTCCGGACTATCAGTTGCTCTGCGGTATAAGTCGCACCAGCCAAAAAATGTGCAATGAAGAAGAAAAAAACATATATAAGTCGCACCGGACTATAAGTCGCACTTTTTGGGGAAATGTATTTTGTAAAATCAGAGACTAGAAACTGACATTTCATCTTGAAAGGCAAATTATAGTAATAACAACAGAATAAAGAACAACAGGCTGAATAGGCGTTAATATGTTAACGTAATATATTAACAGTTATTCAGATAATTATAGTAAACAACAGAACATAAGTTTACCAAACTCACGATCTCACTCCAAATCACTAAATCCATTGAATTCTTCATTCTCGGTGTCACTTCTGCGTGACCTCCGGAGATAAACCATTTATCTATGATGTAAACGGAGCGCCGCTTCCTCTTCTGTGTAGCTGTCGTCAGACTCAGCATCAGTTCCATTTAGAATTATTCTGGCCTTTCTGAATCCTGACAGGATGGTTTCGGTTGTCACTGATGTTCAGGCTTTGTCGATTCATCCAGTGACTTCCAGGAACGTTGCAAGGCTCACCCGCCCGGTTACCATGAAGCTGCTTTCTCTATCCCCGCTTTCTGCCAGTCTCTCACAAGTTTCTCGCTCGCTCCAAATTTTCTCTCTGCTGCTCTATTACCGCTTTTGGCTGCATATTTCAGTATTTACAGCAGAACAACAGCTTTTTCTACAGGAGGCATGCACAGTAGAATGCGAAGTGACAGTGGTACGCGAGTAATAAATACTGACACACAAGCCTAGAGCGCCCTCTCGTGGCTGTCAGTCTGAAAATTTTAATATACAAGTCGTACCGGAGTATAAGTTGCAGGACCACCCAAACCATGAAAAAAAGCACGACGTATAGTCCGAAAAATACGGTATGCTTTCTATAAATTACATATAGTTTTGCAATGAAGTTGTGTTAAATTTTTTGGTATTTTAACAAAATAATAATAATAATTTTAGGACCTTTAATGTTTATAGTTATTATCACAAGACAAGAGGAAGCTAACAGTGCAGTGGAACGGCTCAATCTACAGTTACTTCTCGGAGCTTGCCATGAGTAGCACAAGGGTTTTTGACTGACACTAAAATTCCTGTTTAAGATTCCTGGAATAATTGTTGGTTTGTCTATCCCTCACACAGTGATACCGAGGACCACAAGCCCCTGAAGGGAAGCCGCACCCCCTCAAACGGTACAGTGAGGCGCGATGAGAGCGATGACAGCCTGGTGGACTACGGAGAGGGCGGGGATGGACAATTTAACGAAGACGGATCTTTCATTGGTCAGTACAGCGGCAAGAAGGAGAAAGACACGCACGAAGGCAACGAGAGCTCGGAGGCGCCATCTCCTGTCAACGCCATGAACTCCTTTGTCTAACGAAAGGGGCGGGGCCTGGCTGTGATGTCATCTGTCTTGGCCACTCCCCCCCACTTTGTTGTTGAATTGTTGACCGTGATGGTTTAAATCAATACACGGGACTACTGGTACATGCTCACATCTTCACGCCCGTCACCCCACCCCGTCCCACTGTGACTCCATCGAAAAACCACGCAAACGCCACACATCCCAAATAAGGAAGAAAGAACGGGCTGTCCCGAGTGGAACTAAAGAGGAAGCAATATAAAAGGAGCAAGAATGTAACAAAAAGTTTATGGCCAAGTGTCTCTGTGCCATTGAATTTTTTGAATAGGAGCATATGCAGCACTGGAAAAATAAGAAATCACTCTTGACTGGAAGATCGCCTACTATAAGGTGAAGGTGAAAGTGTCTTGCCTCAGGTTACAAAAGGAATATATTTTGGTGATGTGTGGGAAATGAACCATCAAGCTTTTGGTCACTGGGCAACCAATTTCTCCTTATTTCCATACAACAATTTGTCATTTAAAATTATTACATGGCTTAGTTAAAGTGCGTATGACAGGTTTTCATGTTTTTGTGATTATAGCTTCATTTGGTGGGATGGTACCTGTGTTAGGGCGGTATGTCAAACTTTTACTCAGTCCAGTCTCAGTTTGAGGTTGAAAACAAAGTTGAAATTTATCAGATGTAGTGCTACATACTTTATTATCAAGACACAAAGTTCCATCCTAGACGCAGGGACCATTTTTTCACATAAAGAACACACATTTTCCTGTGTATTATTAATTTAGGAAACTACAAATTGCACGAGCTTTGCCCCTTGTTTACGGTACAGTTGCTAGGTAACTGTTGGAATTACCTCATATGTTATCGGCCACTCATGTCCAATCAGGAAGTACAATTTTAAACTTCAACAAAATAGAAAGATATTAACTTGGTAAGATTGCTTGAAGAAGCAAAATTTTAAATATAAGTAATACAAGGTTTTGCTGAAATGTGTAGTCTAACTTTAGCCTGATTCATCTGCTGATTTCACTTTGTGAAAACTGTCTGGCCTCGCAGCATTAGGATTCGTTTGCTCGATGGTAGGTGGGTACTTTTTTATTTTTATTTAACCAATCGCTGCTATTTGGTCGTGACATATGAAATGCACCGCTAACAGGGATAATTAAACTTTTAGGATGAAGGGCAGTAACGTCTTTCCCCATGATAAAATTCACCAAACATTCTCTTTGTTCCAGCGTTAAATCCTCAATCTCGGGAATTGTTGCCAACACAGAATGAATAGCTCTTCACTGATTGGCTGGTGCCTGGACTTGCACTTCCAGGGTTCTTGCAAATCGTCTAGTGTATTCCAATTCCTGACCTAGTGGCTGGAGAGAAATTAAATTGAGCAGAGACACTAGGTGGCACCAGCCTGGCTAATCTAACTTGTCATATGCACTCTAATTACTCCTCTCAGTAAGATGGGTCTGGGACAGCTGTCAAACTAAGATACTGAGGTTTAGAGTGGCATCTTAACTATTTCCAGGGCTGTGTATCCTAATGCATAATTTGAGTGAACCCAGAAAAGAGGTACAATGCATTTACTTCAAAACATGAGCATTTGCATGGACGATCTCACTGATTCCGTACAGCATTTTCCACCCTCAGAGTCGGAGAGGTGAGGTGCACGTTTAGACTGCGCCAGGTCACAGGAGCTGGCTATGCCTTCTGTTGTTTTGTTGGAAAGTGTTATATTGTTTTGAATGACTAAAGTGGCAGCTTGTCTGTGTGGGGCAAAGCTGCAGAATGCAAAACTAGTATAATTAATGTCTTTTTGAGACATGTAACCCTTTGTACATATGTTATAGAGTAAAGACAAAGATATATAATTATTTAAGGTCAGGAAAGTCCATTTGTAGCTACTGGAAACCTGACAAAAATACACACTTTTGATCATTTAATTTGACACACCAGCCAGAAATATTTACACTGAACTACTTTCAGGTACATTGTTTATGCTTGCAAATTTTACTTAAACCCACAAAATTGTTATTAAAAATCAGGAATAATCACTGTTAAGTGGTTCCACCGATTCTCAGACACTTCTGTTTCAGGTGACGCGATGTTGTCACTGCTTCTAGAACTCACCATAACCCTGAATGAAATATACAAACACTGTAGGTCAGGCAAGCAATGTGTTTTTCACTAAGGTTGCATTCACACTTCGGGGTAAAATTGTGACTAAACCTGTATCTAAATCAAGAAAACACCAGGGACTAAACCAAGCCTACATCAGGACTAAACTAGGCACAAATCTGGACTAAACCGGGGTCTGAACGCTCGGAAATTCTGATGACAAGAACTACCTAACATACTGTCTCAAATATCATTTCCACATCAGTCTTAAAGGTGCACTATGTAACTTTCCTGGTGATTTGCTTGTCTCTAAGGAGATGTGAGAGTATAGAGTAGTATATGCCTGGAAAGTTCCACAATATTTCACTAAGTTAATCTATTTGGCTTTATTTCAATTACTGGTGTTTCATTGCTAAATCCATGCATTTTTACTGTGTGTGTGAGAGAGATCTCAGTTAACTTGGCTTTTTAGTGTCATCTTTTTACTGTCTCCATGGAGATAAATATGTTTATTACAAGACAGTGGAACATTTCATGCAAAACGAAAACATTTTCATGGAGAAAAATAGACCCGGGCAAACCCTCCACCATAAAAGTGCACCTCTAAAGACGCATATGTCACATGAATAAGAAAATACTCTTATATGCATTTCTATGTTTCATCAGATTTTGAAATTTAAACGCAGTTGAATTTCTCACTTTGAATTTTTTTTTAACTCTGGAAAAAACATGCTGAATTTTCAAGTGTACATTTTCAAAGTGTATAAAAATCAGTATGAACATAAATTACCTTTTAAATATTCAGCACAAATATTTTCAAGCTCTCAAATTCAGCAGTCAAAATTCAGAGTGAAATATTTGCAGTGAGGAGGACAGAGGTTGTTTCCTATTGGCCGTTCTCATCTGTGGGCGGGGTTTGAGACTTGATGAGGATAATTCTGACCAATCAGATCTCTTTACTGCACCATTTCCTGCTTGTTACTAAGTCAGATTGGATGACTTTGGATCGATTGTTTCTGCCATGGCATGTTGGATCTTTCCTGTAAATTTTTTTCACTGCGAATTTTACACTCTGAATTTTGACTGTGGAATTTAGCGTCTTGAAAATATTTGTGCTGAATATTTAAAAGGTGAAATTTTTATTCTGAATTTGAAACCAATTGGAAAAGTATGCTTAACATTTCAGCAACTAAAATTCAGAATAAAAATAATTCAAACGTGAGAAATTGGACGGCATTTAAAATTATAAATCTGATGAAACAAATGATCTTCCGTACATTTCAGCTAATAGGAATGAAGTCACCAAATATTTTTAAGAACAGGTTTAGCTCAAGAAGTGTGTGACCACAGTAACAACAATCACAATCACATTAGTGTTTTACCACAACATTTACTGACTACAGATAACCATCGAAATATGCAGGTATGTGTAGGCTATGTGAGACAAGGACTGAGAAGGCACGATAGAAGTTAAGGAGGTTCATGTCTCATTTATCTCCTCCCATATGTTCATCCAAAGAGGAGAATAACTACTGCCAACCTACCAGGTAACTGCCAACAGGAAGCAGGCTGCATATTGGTACGAGAACTTCCTTTAATGGTAGCACTTAGACGCTAAACGAAGGCTGTTGGATAATGAAACTGAATGTGTAAGCAAGTGTTATTTTTTTGTGAATGAAAATGTTGCTTGTTTCACTCCAAATGGTGAACCTGTACCACTTTATAATAACTACACCGTAATGAATTAAAGCATAAACAAAGACTCAAAAAAATCATACTGAACAAATAGTTTATTATTAAGTATTCAGGCTTTGTAAATACATAATTAAAGCTACCATCTGTAAGTTTATTTTTACTTCACCTGTGGTTTCTGGTCTTTTTCCGTGAGGCCGCAGAGGCAGCAGTAATGTAGACAGCATCTAGTTGTGATATGTGAGAATACAAGCTCATTTAATTCTCTTTTTTGTATTTTGCACTTGTCGGATACTGTTCCCAGCTCAACTCTTCTTGCTGCAAGTTTATCAGTTTGAGACAAATCTATTAACATTTGTCTTCCTTTGGGTTAATAATGACTTAGAACTACCTTTTCTATTGTCTAGTCTCATTTTAGAACCATGTTTAGTCATATTTTTTGCCCGATATAGTCTGGGTTTATAGCATTTAGTGATATGTGAGAATACAGCACATACTTAAATCTTTTCTAAGCTTGAATCAATCTTTATAAACTATGTGTTCTAATGAATTAAGTCTTTGCTCATGCTTTAATAAGGCTCTTAAAAGTGTATTTATTATATCGTGTCAGCGGTAAACTCACTAAAGAATTTGGTTTATGCATCTAACCTTATATCTATGTATGTCACTGTACACTGAGGCAGTGTACAGCAGCACTCTGTGGGTTTTATACCTGTAACTGAATGAAGCTCGTGTGCGTGGGTGGACACATGCATGCTAACGTATTATAGCGTGCGTGACGTGATTCGCTTTGGTTGGTGCTAGATAGTATGCTCTGGAGGGACGGTCTCTTCTGATTGGTCATTTAGAGTTGAGAAAGTTTAGGAGCAGGATTGTGTAATTATTATGGAATTATAATATTGATATACATACATTAAGTTATTGCACTAGATTAAAGAAAGTACATTTAAAAATTATGCCATTGGTAAAACACTATCATAACATGCTTAATATGACATTGTAATGTTCAGTACAGTGAATATTTAAAATTTACATATACAAGTTTAATGTCTCAATCAAACACAACTGTAGTGTTAATCTGTAAAATACATCAACCAATACTCATAGCGATATACAGATAAAGCAGCCCACAATATCGATAATGTATCGCCGAATCTAGTAACACAATATATTGAAATTTTGATATATTTAGGTCTGGAAACACGTTATGGTTTATATTAGAGTTAAGAAAGGTTTGGGTTATAGTTAATATGGAACCAGTAAATTTAAAAAAACTTCTCTTATCTCATCTTATGCCATAAAAAAATTTAAAAATACATAAAATAAATAATAATCCAATTTAGGCCTGTCCATAGCAACAGACGTTTACACATCACCATGGAAACCAATGGTACATCATCAGTCCAGTCCCTCCGGAGCTGACTATCTAAAGAGCACTAACTATATTTTTTCCAGCAATTGTGTGTCGGTCTGAAATTGATACTTTATTTTCAAGAAAACCATTGTATGATTACTTTACCATAACTTGCATCAAGTTTTAGGTTTATGATGTGTCTGCTTTCACCCTGTAGATAATATTCTTGTTGTATTTTGTAAATAAAGGCTTGGACTGAGCGTGTTGAGGTCTGAGTGTGAGACCTCAGTCAACCCTGCTGCATTATAGGTAATATTTTTGACAAATCGGTTGTGTGCGATGAGAATATTTGCAGTTTGGACATTTTATTTGCTGTGTTCTAGTTTATTTAATTCTCTTTTATACTTTGAACTTGTCAGATACTATTCCCAGCTCAACTCTTTAGCCTGTAAGGTATCAACAATATGGATTCACCTGCAAAGAATTTCTGCTTGCACCTCTTAATGAAGAATATAACAATTACTGCACCCCCTGTATTTCTCAGAATAAACTGTCCAGCATATTTATAAACCAACTTCTCCAAAAAATAGACTGGTGTGGAGAGAAAACTGGGACACTGTAGTTGAATGCCCTCTCTATGAATAGTGGCTATATTAATATGGTATGATGATTTCTGGTCAATGTTGAAGTCACACAAGACGCATGAAAGGCTGTCATTATTGTTGTTTACTTGACAGTATAATATTGCAAACTATTTTGTATTTAATTTAAGTTAAAATGAAATAAATGTTGGTTTTAGGATTTGAAATCAGTCTCTGTTCTTTGAATAGAATTTTTTTTTTTTTTTCTCAATACATGCTTATGTGGGCTTCCTCTGGTCATACAACAACATATTTTTTCTGTTTTTGTCCTCTGCTGGGTTAACCATGATTTAGAAATACCTTATCTGTGGTTCAGTTTAATCGTAGACCATGTTTAGCCTGAAATAGTCCAGGTTTTTATCTGGTAGTACTCAAAAGCCAAATATAGATTTATTTAGATAGTACTTGGAGTGAATAGTTTGAGAACCACTACTAAAGACTAGTCAATTAAATGTATATAGTACGCCCTCTAGTGTCTGTTTGCATGTATATGTTTTATCTGGCAAAAAACAAACAAACAAACAAACAAAACAAAAAAAAACACGAGATTTCAGGGTAAATCTCAAGTAATCTGTGATGGATTATTCGCCGATTTGTCTGCGCATGCGTGGTGAGTATGTTTGTACGATAATTTCTTTGTGACGGTGCTAGGTTTAGTTTTTATTAATAAAAAGGAGGAGGTTTGGTGTTAAATTAAATTACAATTCACAGCACGTGGCCAAGAGGGACAAAAGTTTAGCCAAAATATAATGATGTGAGTATACTGTAGAAGAAAAGGTCCACGTGCGATATGGTTATCTTATAGACTGTTTCAATTTTTTATTTTATTTTATTTAATTTTTTTTTGATGCTGCAAAATGGCGAACTATTTTCGCATACTATATTATTCTAAAATAAAAAAGTAATAATAACTATATACATATTTTTTAATAACAGAATGAATCCTAACTATCCTCTGTTCTCCCACCCCCGTATCGGAGATGGACCAACCCTGGCCAGATGAGCACCGTCGCCCAGAGGTGCCACTCAGCAGTCTCCTCCAATAGGAAACTTTCTCCCCTGGATGCTGTTGGTGGGACGGGGTGGTGCTGGGACGGTGTGGTTCGGTCCAAATTTACCATGATGTGGAATGAAGACTGAATTTGCCATTTTAACCCAAAGGTAGGTCGTCCGTGTTTGGAGCGTGCGCGTGGCTTGCTGTCTGCGGGATTAGTGAGCTTTTAATCGGGCATGTTTGCGTCCTGGTGGCGATAAAGTGGACCGGCTCTGGAGTACCGCATTGCAGAGTGCAGGACTGGCGGTGCTGCTCAGTCGTCACAGTGTCAAATGATGTAAGGGACGCCGCGTGCAGGTCTGGATGTAACGGGATAGGACTGCGACAAACTCAAGTTGGTCACTAGGTACAAGAAAGAGACGCAGTGTTGAATGTTAAGTTTGCAGATGCAGGATGCAAGGTGTGTCAAGGGCGAAAGTGGAGCTGGTTGACTTTCAGGTCTCCATCACAGAAGGGCAACTCCCAAAATGGTCACGTGTCAAAACAATTTCTTATAATACTGGAAGTTTTGTATTACCAACATCAACTTTGTAATAGTGTTAACATGACTGAAGGACAGTTTATGCACTGGCTATTCCATAACACATGGGTGTTCAATTTATTTTTCTATGGGGCCACATGAAACTGAAACTGAAAATATTGTGGAGGGCCGGGCCAAAACGCTCAATGCTGCATAATATTAATTGTATTTCTTCATAAAAAGCAGTAAATAGCATTGTTTTGACAACCCGTTAAGACTGATAAGAGTATATGTATGACTAAGCAATGAAAAAGTGAAGTTGCCTCACAAAATAACACAGAAAGGCAATGCAGCTTTAGTTCATGCATGAGGAAAATGATAAAATATGTTTATTTTGCAATTTCAAGTTAGCTTATAGGAGCCGGTCAGAATCAACCAAAGCTGTAGAATGCCCAGGTCTACCGTAACAGTATGTAAAGGCATGTTCTTATTCTCAATATGCAGAAGCTGTATTGTTGTTGGTATGTTTTATGTACCCCTAAAAGAGATACATTTCACCAATAAATGTAGCTTCTCATTGCCTATTTATTTGTTCTATATAAATAATGAGACGTATATATCTATTAGGCCTAAATACCAGATGTTGATATTGCTTTCATTGCTTACATAAGGTTAGCATGTTATTTTTTAGACCTTAAAAACACAATTAAAGCCTGTATAATATAAACCTGGAGATTCAGTCAATGGCAGTAGGGTTAATACATGTGCTGCTGACCCAGTTTAGTGTAGTCTGTCTAAAGAGGATCTGAGCTGGATTAGCACCAAGCATAACACATGAAAACACTCCGTTGATCATCAGAATAGTTTTACATGTGCTCTGTCTGCCATTGTTCTTTATTCTACAGTTTTACAGCTTCAGTTTTAGTTACCTGATGTGATTCTCGAGTTACCTACTGCTCAACTTTATTTTAAATATTGTTAGGGACTGATAAAATAATAACATCTTAAACTAATCTTATAACCTCTGACTCTGTGGACAACATTGGCAGAGGTGACATTTGCTGTATTAGATGTGTCAATACATTGCCTGAAATGATACTAAATTTTAGTATAGAGTATATTTATTTATTTATTTTTTATTTTAGACAGGGACAGGGCACAATTTTTACATTTGACCTTAACAGGAGAGATGCATTGTACCAGGTTGTAGCACCAGTGCTAATTTCCACCTGTAGTCCCTGGGCAGGTTCACTGATTGATTGTATTTAACTGACCTAAGCTATCATATTAACTACAACAGTATTTCTCATACTGTGGTTCTGTGGTACTCCAGTATAAACATGTTATTTCCTCTCTCTCTTTCAGACCACTGCAGTCCATTCCCTTCGCATCCCCTTTCTGTTTGTCCCTCTGTCCTCTCTCAGATTGGCTTTAGTTTCACTCCTCACTGACATGGCATCCATAGTCTTTCTGTCATTGGCCCTCACCTCTTCATTATCATTTACAGGTAAGAATACTTTCCCTAAGTATCATGTTGTGCTAGGTTAAATGTTATTTTTCAGGTGACATTAGAAAGTCTTTATTTTTGGAAGCTTGTTTTCAATTATTTTAATCTAGAAAACCATGAATCCAGGAAACACTGTGAGTATTACTATAGAAGTGACGAAGAAAAATTCAGTTTCAAATTCTGATTTACTATTTTTACAAAATAAAAAATGAATACTAATAATAAGAGCCTACACAGCCAAAAGTCCAACACTGACATTGGGCAGCAGCACTAAAATAAACATGATATACATATTTTTTACTTTGATAATCAATGTGATTGTTGTCCAAATTTTTCAGTGGGAGTCCTGTTCAATGAGCCGAGGATATTTGGAGGTGGGTAACTTTCACTTATGTAAATTTAATTATTCTTTGTGCTGGTTATAAACTTAAGTCTGTTGTATTAAATGGATCAGATGATGCCACTGGTTATGGGCCCATCTTTGAGGAGGAGCCGGTGGATGTGGTTTACACTGAGGACTCTCCAGATGGAAGGATCTCCATGAACTGCAGAGCCAGAGCCAATCCTCCAGCCTCCTACAGGTCAGAAATATGCATCTATAAATCTGATATTATAACTGAGAACATGATGCAATTTGTGAAGATAGTGGAGACATTCACATTGCTGAAACCTCATTCTAAAACTAAATATGTTGGGATGTTATTGTGTGTAAAGATGGCGGCGTGATAACTGGGAGATCAAACTGATGGAGCAGCCTGATGAGCACTACAGTCTGGTCGGAGGAAACTTGGTCATAAACAACCCACGACAGAAGAAGCATGCTGGGACCTACATCTGTGTGGCCAAGAACATCTACGGCACCGTCATCAGCAAAGAGGCTCGCGTCAAGTTTGGATGTGAGGAACTCAGGCACTTATAATGTAAAAGTAATGGTCAGAGGTTGTTAGACTGTACTAAAGTGCAATGAGTGCTGTTTGACATTTTATTTTAGCACTTTTCTGACACTTAATGTACTGTGTCTTGATTGAAAGGTGTGGTCTGTAACTTTTATGGCTATCTGCTTGTCTTTATGGAAATGCTTTACCTGGAATGTTCCACTACGCCAGAACTGTATGAAAGGCAGGTTTTTCAAGGTATTCTTTTAACACTATAAACCAGAGAGGACTTGCAAGTCATGACTTGGACTCAAGTCAGACTTGAATCACTATTTTTAGGACTTGAGGCTTGACTTGAAAAAATGGACAAAGACTTGCGACTCAACTTGGACTTGAAGGTCAATGACTTGGGACTTGACTTGGACTTGAGGCCTGTGACTTGAGAAGACTTGAGAAGCACTTTTAAATCTGAATTTGTTCTATTCTGATCATAATTATTCACACTATCACTGTCAAGACATTTTACACTGTCAAGACATTTAAAAAGGAAAAAATTTAATTTCTACAACTCTTACATACTCTATAAATACTCATAGAGAAATATACAATTATAAAATAAAACAATTTATCTTAAAATGCATATAAATTGCAAAAATCTAAGCTATATTTACTTTGGTTTAAAGACTTGAAATTACTTGAGGCTCAAAGCTGACAACTTGGACTTAACTTGGACTTAACTTGGACTTACGGGCCAGTGACTCGAGAATCGACTTGCCTGTATTTAATTTGGGACTTGACTCGGACTTGAGGTCAAAGACTTGAGACTTACTTGAGACTTGCAAAACAACGACTTGGTCCCAACTCTGCTATAAACATTGAATACATGCATGAAGTTTAACTGCGGAACATTCTAGGTAAAGGGAAAACACCTTCATGACACACACGTACCGGATCCTCCAAATAATAACCTTTATTGTTTACTATATTTTATAGTCATAAAATAAACATAGGATTTTGATGTAGGACTCAAGCCTCATTTATATTAACTGTGTGCAGTAACAAAAATTAATTAATATGTAAATAAAGTCCAACTCTTCTGCTTAAGATTTAGAAGAGTTTCCTGAGGAGGAGAGAGAACCAGTGTATGTAAAAGAAGGACAAGGTGCTGTTCTGCTCTGTGTCCCTCCAAAAGCCTACCCACGTATGTCGATTAAATTATAAAAGAATATTCACATTTTCTTTGGTATGTTCAACAACTTTGATGGTTTGATGGTTCCTTCTGTCTTTCCAGAGGAGGTGACGTACCGCTGGATCTACAACGAGTTCCCGGTCTTCCTCCCCACAGACAACCGCAGATTTGTGTCACAGAAAACAGGAAACCTCTACATCGCCAAAGTGGAGGCCCATGACGCTGGGAATTACTCGTGCTTTGTCTCCAGCCCCACCATCGGAAAGAGCGTCTTCTCCAAATTCATCCCCCTCATTCCTCTACCACCAGAAGAGGGTAGGTAACTACATAGAGGTATACTTATTGGCTTATTGAATGAATGGTACCAAGATTGTATGTTAGGAGCTCTCTTCTTATATGCAGCACTCAATTCTGAATAATGTCGTTGTTACTATTAAACATTCCTGAATAAATAAACTATTAAACCAGCATTACATTGGCTGTGCTTTTTTCCCTATCACCAAAAATATGTAAAATAGTAATTATTAATAAGTAGACAGGAACATCTCTTCTCATTAAGTCTCCATATTATCCCAATACATATTTTTCTTACAGGTGAAGAGAGAAAGTACCCAGCCGACATCAGGGTGAAATTTCCAGACACCACTGCCATGCTGGCCTCTAATATCACTCTGGAATGCTTTGCTCTTGGAAAGTAAGGAATTGCCAGAAAAGAGATATGTTCATCTCTAAATATTTACAATTGTATTGAGCTTTATTTCACTATATTATTTTGTCTACGTGTAGTCCGATCCCTCATATTGTGTGGAGGAAGGTGGACGCTACAGACCTGCCCGCCAACCATGAGATCAGTGAATCGGGGGCTGTCCTTCACCTTTACAATGTGCAGTATGAAGATGTGGGAGGCTATGACTGTGAGGCCATAAACACCAAAGGAAAGGACTATCATAAAGCCTGGCTCTACGTCGAGTGTAAGTAACTAGTTTCATATGAAAATGCTGTATGGTTTTAGTTTATTTCATTCATAAGTAGAGATGCAGTGATGCCATTTTGTCTGCATCCATATGGGTTTAGGTTATCGGATGAACGTTGGGCAAATACATTGTTATTGTTAATGTTATAACTTTTAAAATATTTACAATCTTCTTGCAGAGTGAAATAAGAAGCATATTTGGATCAGTTTGTATTAATCAGTACATTTTCACTTAATGAAGAAAGGCTCACTTATTTTGACCTCACACTCAGTATAGTTCAACAGGCCTAGCTAACTAACAGAAACTGTAAGCAGGTAGGTCTTTTAGTTTCAGAGTAGTTTCATTGTACCGTATTTTTAGGACTATAAATCGCCCTTTTTTTCATGGTTTGGGTGGTCCTGCAACTTATACTTCGGTGCGACTGACAGCCAGGAGAGGGCGCTCTAGGCTTGTGTATCAGTTTTCTGTGCATATCTCCTGCAGAAAAAGCCTGCAATTAGTGTAATATGTAGCAAAAAACGGTAATCAAGCAGCAGAAAGAAAGTTTGGAGTGAGTGAGAGACTTGTCAGGTACTGGCAGAAAGCGGGAATGGAGAACAGCTTCACGGCAACTGGGAGGGTGTGCCATGCAACTTTCCTGGAAGTTTTTGGATGACAAAGCCTGTACTTCAGTGACAAAGTGACGAAGTTAGGCGGAGTTGCTCAGAAGTGACACCGAGGATGAAGAATTCAATGGATTCAATGGATTTAGTGATTTGGAGTGAGATTGAGAGTTTGGTAAACTTATGTTCTGTTGTTTATGCTATAGTTATCTGAATAATTGTTAATATGTTATGTTATCATATTAATGCCTATTCAGCCTGTTGTTCTTTATTTTATTGTTATTACTATAACTTGGCTTTCAAGATAAAATGTCAGTTCCTGGTCTGAGTTTATAAAATAAATTTCCCCCAAAAAGTGTGACTCATAGTCCGGTGCGACTTATATTTTTTCTTCTTCATTATGCATTTTTTGGCTGGTGCGACTTATACTATGGAGCGACTTATAGTCCGAAAAATATGGTAGTTAGTTCCTCCTTTCAGGCAGAGGGTCAGACAACTTGGGTCCAGCTGACAAATTAAATTTTTCCTTTTGCCATGGATTCTACCTGGACGACTGAGGGATTTTTCACACATCTTGAGAATTTCTATCGGTTGTTTGCAGAAACTTGATACAAGAACTAAAATAGATGGATGGCTGCATTATCTTGTCATAAGTACATACAAAAAAATTACATTTATAAAGATTTATTATTGTTTGATTCTATTCTAGCTGCTCCTGAATGGGCCGAAACCATCAACAACACTCAGAAAGACATTGGGTCAGAGCACACCATGCGCTGTGTGGCTGCTGGAAAACCCTACCCTTTTATCCGCTGGTACAAGGATGGATACATGGTAGGAGTTTTTACATGTTTTTTTTATAATGTTAAGTCTCTATTGACAGTTTAAAATTTCTTTTGTTGTGTCCAGTATGGAAAAGGAGAGCTGAAGTTTTCCAGTCTGACCTTTGACGACTCCGGGATGTATCAGTGCATTGCTGAAAACTACTGGGGGATTAAATATGCAAATGCTGAGCTGAGGGTGATTGGTAAGTGTGCTCTCTTAATATTTGATTTTTTTCTTGTTTTAAAGTCTATGGGAAAAATTACTGAGAAATTTACAGAACCACAGCAGGTTTCGAGGTGGGCTAGACTGTTGAGAGTTCTGTATTGATATGGCATAGTACTACAGATCAAACATTATTGTGCAGTGTTATCTAACTCAACAGATGAGACAAGTGAGGAAATATCAATCAAGCTTAATTCCAGGCTACAGGAGTCTATATATAGCATTTAAAAATCAGGTAGAAGACAAACAGAACAGTAATAAGAGTCTATACGTAGTTCATAAAAGCAGTTCTTCCAGCGCCTCCAAAGTTAAGAGGTCAGGTCTGCTCAGGTGTTATTAAAACAATTATAATTTCATTTTGTGAGTCCTCAGGGCATTCATAAACTTATACACACTTTTACTTTAACTGTACCACAAGTGGGCACTATAGAGTGGTGTGCAGCAAGCTTTGAACAGAGCTATCTTCACATTATTTGTACACATTATGAAATTTTGGTGCCAACATATTATCTTCTATCCTCTGAATGTCATTATCATCCCCTGTGATCACTCCTAATACAATAGATTAATAAAGACTCATGATTCTTCCTCGCCAGCCTGCGCCCCGACATTTGAATTTAACCCAGTGAAGAAGCAGCTGTTGGGGGCTAAAGATGGCCGCGTGTTGATCGAGTGTAAACCCAGAGCGGCCCCCAGACCTCGCTTCACCTGGACCAAGGGCAAAGAACTGCTCTTCAACAACTCACGGTCTCAAATACTACTGTGTACACAAACATATACTGTAGTACTGTAGTGGATATGTACTGAGTGAGCCTATGTTTTCTATGCAGTATTTCTATCATGTTCGATGGGACTCTGGAGATTCTGAACGCAACTAAAAATGATGAGGGATTCTACACCTGCTTCGCTGAAAACGACAGAGGAAAAGGCAACAGCACTGGATATCTCACTATCACAGGTCAGTCTCATGAAAATATTACATATTGGTTCAGACAAGTCATGGAAACTTTAAACATTAGCCATTTCAGTTTTTACTGACCAGACATATCATATTTTTGATAAAGAAAATTAGGGAGCACACATGAGAATTAGATTTTTACACTAGACATTCTGAGGAAAGCTCTTTCCATTAATCTAGAATTAATCAAAGCTTTATTCTAAGACCCACCACATTTCATGGAATAAAACAATTTCTTTCTATCACAACTAAGCAATTTTAATTTTCCTGAGAAATAAAAATGAGTACCATATGCTACCACTATGAAATGGCATCCTTATGAATACAATTTAAATGTAGATTGTGATAATCCCAGATGGGAATTTTTTTTTTAAATTCAGAATCTTAATATTTCTCTTTGTAATGAGGCCCTCTGAGGGAAAAAAACTAAATGACAGTATTAGTTTTATCTCTCTTCAATATTAAACATATGTACAAGATGATGTAATCTTAAACCAACAATATAAAATAACTGTAATTATATATTTTAGGATTAAGACAGATTGATAGGTTAGTGTGTTTACCTTTTCTACTTTCTATTGTTGTTGTGTCCAGAGGCCACGAGTTTGACGGTGGTGCCTGAGGACTCAGATGTGCGTGTGGGGGATGACATCATACTGAGATGTGCTGCTTCATACGACCCCATGTTGGACATCACCTTCATCTGGTCCATAGACTTCAGGGTCATTGACTTCAGCCTGGAGTGGCAGCACTACGAACGTGTCATGGTACAGAGCTCTGTGTTAGTTAAAGCAATGGATAGATATTTAGGAAATTACAGTAAATTATAGAATGACTTAATCACTTTAAAAAAATATTTCTTTATATCTTACAACCTGTTATACCTGTTATATTCCTTTTTTTATTTTCTAACTGTCCTTTTTGTTGTTCGTCAGGCAGAGGATGGAGTTGGAGACCTGAGGATAAAGAATGCCCAGGTGTGGCATAGGGGGCGCTATACCTGCACAGCACAGACAGTGGTCGACAGTGACTCTGCGTATGCTGATCTCAAAATTGTTGGTGGGTATTACTATTTTACTTATTTACTTAATATTCTTTTTAACAAGTATAGTTTGCCCATTACTGATTTGAGGCTCAGGAGTGGAGACATCATAAATTGATTAAAGTGGAGACAATCATAAATTGATTAAACATTTCATCAGTGTTTTTTGTCCCAAAATTATTATATTTTTTTTTACATTATGTTGGGCATCAGACTACATTTTGGGGCTTGTTTGAGACTCTGTTGATGTAGTCCATGAGGAAGAGACAACATTTTTTAATTATTTACAATAACTGGATCAATTAACATATATATATATATATATATATATATATATATATATATATATATATATATATATATATATATATATATATATAAATTAAATAGTTTTGTTTTTGATAATGGGAAGATCTGTTAATTAGTCTAAACATGTAGTTTTAGCTCCTGGAGAAAGACGCCCAATACAGCTTGATTCACATAATTTTAAAGTTTATATATTTGTTTGTTTGAATTCAAAAGCATTTGTCTCAATCACACCTTAATGAAAAATGTGTTTGCGAGGCCAAAGCTTACAGTCATGTCACTTATTTGTTTCCCAGGTAAACCGGGGCCTCCAGGTGTGATCAGAATCGAGGAGATTGGAGACAGTTATGTGAAGCTGGTGTGGACCAAAGGAGCAGAACATAACAGCCCAATCACACACTACACTGTCCAGACCAGGTTCTTCTGGGCTCTGTATGACGATGACTGGAGGAACGCCAGCACATGTAAGTACCATGGTTGACCACAAGAGGCTGCACTCTTATATCTCATTGTACATCCCTTGCCTCTGAGCTGATTTTACTGATCAAATAAAGGTGTACTATGTAACTTTTTGGTAGGGGGGTGCGTCACCTGTTTCTCTCCAGGATGATGTTATTGCTTTGCCTGGAATGTTCCACAAGTTATAAATCTTGCCTATATTCATTTATAGTCTTTTTACTTGGCTTGTTTGCATCACCTTCTTATCTCTTTGGAGATAGCTTTAATGCCATACTGTGGTACATTCCAGGATATCTCTGTAGAAAAGTTACATAGAGTACATTTTCAAGCAATTTTTAAAGTGCAATAAAAATATATAGAGCTTCAATATATTAGTGTTCAGTACAACTTTAGGTCCCAACTAACACCGTTAAGTTCGTACTATTCAAACATAGCTACTTTTGCAGGAAAGCCCAGTAGTTATTGCCGTCACACTGTGTGTTTTTGGAAAAAGCAGAAGACATTTCCACATGTGTATTGGTTAATTTACTAGAGGATGAGAAGTAATATTACACAGTCTTGTAATGATTTGTTTTCCTCTTGTACTTTTAGCCCCTACAGTGATTGACGGCTCTATGGAGAAGGCTGATGTGACAGACCTGTACCCCTGGATGGAGTACCAGTTTAGGATCATAGCCCACAATGAGTATGGAGCCGGAGAGGCCAGCATCCCCTCACTCAAGATCAAGACCTGGGACGCACGTAAGCTCAAAACAAGACAATAGAAAATACAATAAAATGCAAGATTTCAGTGTAAATATACCAATAGGCTCTGTTCGCGCTTACGTCACAACCAAGAAGACATTTGGAAAGATGCGATTACAACTTTCAAGGCACAATTTTCTTCATCTAAATGTCACTGTAGCGTTCCGTTATGTTCGGCTAATCAACAATTACACCCATACCTCAGTTTTCATAATTTCCCTGCTGACACACAACTCCGATCGCACTGGGTACATGTGATTAGAAGAGATGAGAGCACCAAAATCAGGATGATTTCAAACATCACATACGTATGCAGTCTTCATTTTACCGCTGATGACATTTACTTCACTGGGTTTTATCACAGTCGGCCCATTGTTGGTAACTACACCAGACGTTGTAATCATATCTTTTCCAACGTCTTCCTGGTTTGTGACATAAATGTGAATAGAGCCTACACTGATAATACACACTGAGCTGATAGAAGAAACAGGATTAGTAGGGATGGCACGATATCAAAATTTGTATGACAATTACTGTGAGAAAAAACACCACAATTTAAAAATTATTCATGATTCTTGTTACCATGACCAAACAACAGTGAAATCCTTCATTTTCTTTTATTTCCATTATTGAAAATGTTACTGTATGTGATCTGGTTTATAAAATCAATCTTTCTGAATGATAAAATAGTTGAGATGACAGTACCAGCCAGATAAAAAAGATTTTACATTAATTGTACTTTTGTGGGTGTCTAGATTGAATAGAAATGATTTATTTTTTTCTACCAAAATGGTCACAATCATTATTTTTTAGCTCTTAGAATTATATCATGGCCTGAATAAGTATCACCATGTATTTTTAACAAGTTTGATCTTTTTCAGCTCCTGTTGTGTCCCCTACGGATGTTGCTGGTTATGGAGGAAGAAACGGAGAGATTGTCATTACATGGACAGTATGTGCCGTCTCTTACTTGAATCTTTCACAGTATTTAAACCACATTTAAACCGCATATGAAAGGCCAACTTGCCAACTCAGAATCTTACCACAGTAGCACAAAGGTGAATCATTAAGTCATTATCAGCATGTATTGACCTGTTTTTGTCATTGAATTCCAGCCTGTGCAGCCCTGGTACTTCTATGGAAAGAAGTTTGGCTACATCTTGGCGTATAAACCTCACAATGCGTATGACTGGTGGTACGAGACGATCTCAGACCCAGAGACCAGGAGGCACGTGCACAGAGACTCCTACTTTATTCCCACAGATGAGGACTTCCAAGTGAGAGAGTTCCAGGTCAAAATCAAGTGTTTTAATGTGAAAGGAAGCGGCCCCTACAGCCTCACTAAGATCATTTACTATCCACGAGATGGTGAGGGTTCTGCTGCTGTATCTGAGTCTTTAAAGGTGCACTCTGTAACTTTTCTGATAGAGGATTTACTGTCAGCTTGTCTCCATGGTGATGTTATTGCTTTGCTAATATGGTTCCACAGTATGACTTTTAGCTTATGTATCTTTGTGAAAACAAGCAGATTACAAAGTTACAGGTCACATCGTGAAGAGTCAGCCCTGCTCACAGTAAGAATTATTGTTTTCAAGTTTTATTTGAGCAATAAAACACCTGAAATTAACTAAACGAGAGATGGATAAGTTCAATACCCAATTATGGAACATTTCAGGCACATTTTTTGTCCAAGTAATTTACCTTGTGGATCAATAGTTTGCCTACGTGTAAGCAAAATATCTCTATGGAGACAAGCAAATAAGGGACATCAAATAGAAGTTTCTTTGTGCATCTTTAATTTACTGAAAAGCTACTATTTATTTTTAGTCTTAGTTTGTTTCTATTTTCATAAGTTTAATTTAAATTACTGTGAAATTAATATCTTGACTAATATAACCTTAATCCTGATATGGTCTATAATGTGTACAGTCCCAATAGAGCCTCCGACAGACGTGTACGCCCGGCCAGTCTCCTCCACAGAGGCGCTGGTGTGGTGGCTCCCGGTGGTGGACACAGGGACCGGCCTGCAGCAGTACATCGAGGGGTATCAGGTGAAATACTGGAGGAAGTACGATGACCCAGAGCCAGGGGCCAATCGAATATTTGTCCCGGCCCACGTCAACCAAACCAGACTGGAGAATATGCTGCCAGACTCCCACTATCTCATCGAGGTCCGAGCGTTCAATGGAGCAGGACTGGGACCACCGGGCGAGCACTGTGAGATGTTCACCAAGAGAGCACGTAAGGAAACAAAGGGGTCATATGGGTGCAAAGACTTAAAGGTCACGTTCAGGCTTTGACATTTCCACATATAAATATTTATATTTAGACAGATTGGTTTAATTTGACATTCAGAATAACCTGTGAGAAACTGTACTTGTTTTCATGTAGTGTTATAGAAAAGAAAGCAATACACTTCACTCTGTTATCATAAGGTGAATAGGTCTAGCAGTCAGGTGAATGGTTAATGAAAATATGTTGTTCAGGTCTTGATCATTTTGAAATCACTTAATATATTATGACCTAGATGCTTGGTTATTAAAGCCCTATGACTTTATGATAGAAAAACAAATTATGCAAGGAAAAATACCTTCACAACAGCACAAATGCCAAGTGTAAACATAAAAACACGTAAAGATAAAAATAGCTGATTATAAACTTGACACCAATGGGTATAACTGAGACACTAATTCATATTTTAAAATATGATCACATAAAATGATAATAGGTATTTTTATTAATATATTTGTGTAGCACCTCCCGAGGCTCCCAGAGTGTGGCGCTGGATCTCCTGGACTGGGATGTGGCTGTACGTGTGGTGGGATCACGTCACTTATGACATTTTTGGAAACTATTCCTTCCCTCTCTATTACAAGGTTAAACATAATATCATACATTTACTATTGAAGTAAATGTTTTCAAATTGTATCACTAATTTTTACTCATTTTCATTGTAGGTTTTGTTCAGAAAGACAGGCTACATCTATGGGAAAGTGTACGTTACAGGTTGGCACTTCATGGACTTCCCCATGCCTCAGCTCGGAGACTACGAGCTGTTGGTGCGTGGACGATACGAAGGAGGAGACGGCCCTGTCAGAATGATTCATCTGTTAGGTAAAACTCTATTAACCTGCAACATAAACCCAAGCAGATTACAGTTGTATTTTAATAGTCAACAAGTTAAAAAATAATTAGTTATTATTTTGTGATTAAAACACATTAAACACATGTGAAGACTATTTATGAAAAAGAAAATCTTGCTGTTTTGATTGAACAGTGATTATTTTTTATTATAAACCTGTTTTTCTTGGCATAGTGTCCGGATAGCATTTAATAATATAATTTTTTTTTTTTTAGTATTTATATTATCATTTTGTAGTTGCAATTTAAGTTCAAAATATAGCTTTGAATCTAATTTTATGTTATTTTCTTGTGTTTCAGGTGCAGCTACCATGACGACTCCCACTTTGAGCATGGTACCTTTGTTGCTCTTGGCCCTGTGCATTGTGGGATTGCAAATTTAAACCTGCTTCACCTTTCCCTCCACTGTAATATAATTAACTCTGGGACATGCTCAAAAGCCTTCACATTTTTTGCCCACTCAGCACTCAGACCTAAGAGATTATTCCACATTACAGTCCCTGCTCTATCTTCTTTTGGTCACTGTTTTGGTACTGCTAAACAAATACATAAGCCAGTCAGTATTTTGTCTTCATAGAATCAGCTACACTTAGCTACAAAAGCTGTTAAATGTAGTCTACAAGTCACTCATGACTGAAAATACAGGGTCTGAAATCCAATCATGATGTGTGTAATATTGTGTAAATATTGTTCAAGTTTGTGATTCAAGAGTTACGGGGTGTTCACACGAAAGCGTCAAAAAACACCTTGACGCCTCTATTTGGACGCCTTTGCATTTGAATTTAGACGCCCCCAACGCACGTATTTGACACTATGGATGAAGTTTTTTTGACACTTTGGTGTGAACACCCCTTTAGACTGGGAAATACTGACGAGCCACACAGCTTAACCCATGATTTATTCTGTTCATGTATTTATTTGTTTGCGTGTTTATCACATCTACAATTCCAGGCTTTTTTTCATTTACACTTTTCATAGAGCTATTGCTAGATCAGTATGGATTTTGATGCTCTGAAATCCATAATGTTCAATTTTCAAATCATGTGCTTTCCTCCTATGTAAAGGTACATGCACCGTAGGCCGTCTCGATTTGTTCTGTAAAGCTGCAAATAAATAAATTACACCAAATCAGCAATGGTTTTTTTTTGGTTCACACTGAAAATATTTTTTCATGATTTAGATTTTTAAGTAACTGTTTCAAAAAGCCAGAAAGGCATACAGCAGGGGTCTTCAACCTGTAGCTCAGGATGAAGTAGCTCCCCGAAGAAATTCTGAATTATATGTATTGTGCTGAATAAGTAAAATTTAATTACCACTGTAAATCTATAATTTTAATGCCCAGTTTTGTGCACTAACTGTCCCCAATCTAAGGCTGTGACTCTTATATTTACTCAATTTCTTACAACTGTTAAAATAAGTAAATCTTTGGCATTTTTGTTTTGTAAAGGTAGCTCACCAGAGGAAAAAGGTTGGAGACCCTTGATATACAGGGTACGAAGGCATGACATAAAAGCTGAGTCTGTCATGTATTAACATTAACTAAACCTATATTTTTAAATTTATATTTTTACATAAAGTGTATTATAGCAAAAATGTACTAAAAACTTAATAGGGATGGAAAAGATCTCACACCCCAAAATATTGTGAGTGCTAGTAAAATTTCTGCAATCGAATTGACTAGAAATTCAGTTAAAAAATCTTACCTTATCATCTTTTATGTCACATCTCATCTTTTAAGTAATATGTCTCATTCCACCTTTAAAGTCAATAGAACTGCATTGTCTATGTCATTACAGAAGATGGCAGTAGCGTCATTGCAATAGTATAGTAGTAATGAATAAAGTCCACCAGCCCCTCTTATTGACACAATAAGAATGCTTGTTTATTATGCAGCCTGTGTAATTTGTTTTAGCAAACATGGCTTAGTGGCTGTAATAACACTGTGGAAATAGCCTCCCTGTGTTCACAACAAAAGCATGAATCTTTCGGAGCACTATCTATTGTTGATGTCTTTTATCTGCTCTCCATTACCAATATTCCTCTCATAATATGACTTTGCCTTCAACTAAATTACAGAGAACTAGAAAAGCCTATATACTGTATAAAATCAGAGCTGCTATCATCTGAACACAGCACGCACAGATGCACCGAGCGGGAGAGTGCTTTTCTTTTGTGGAGGAGGATATTGAAGGAACACCATTTGTTGTTTATACACCATTCGGCCTGTGTTTATTTTTATGTTCACTTCAGCTCCTCTTTGAACAATGAACAAATGTTGCCTTTTTTTTCTTCTTTTGCCATCATTGTCATTAGGTTTTGGTGGACACTTCATGCTTTCTGAAAATATTTTCAAAACACATAATTTGAAAAATGGTGAAATTACAGTGTTGTAACACAAAGTTCAAGAACAGAAGGAGATTAAGAACACGCAATCAAAATAAATACTGATTAAAGATGCACTGTGTAACTTTTCTGGTGGAGGCTCCGTCACCTGCTTCTCTCCATGGAGATATTGCCTGAAATGTTCCATATGACTCTACACTTTTTTATCTCTATGGAGACAGCAGGTGACAGCACAGGGCCAAGGTAGATGTCAGATCTGTGGAGAGGCGAAGTCACTCACAGAAAGAATGCAAGTTTTTAGGTCAATCCAAACCCACGTTTGCCATGCCTGGATATTCCAGACAAAACAGTGACATCTCCTTGGAAACAAGCAGGTGGTGGATCCTCCACCAGAAAATGTACACAGTGCACCTTTAACTGACTTTATTTTGGTTTTACCTTCCTGGCAAAGTGATGGCAATAATACAAGAGTCATCAAGAGTTGCTGTAAAAAGCAATATTGCAATATTAAAGGTGCACTATGTAACATTTCTGCCACTTGTTTGTTTCTATGCACATGTTGTCACTTTGTCAAGAATGTTCCATGGTATGGCATTAAACTTCTTTTATAGCAAATAATATTACAAATGCATTATTTAAGTGTTGCCTCTCCACAGATCTGACTCATAACTTGTCTTGGTGGGGTCATCTGCTCCATGGAGACTGAGTTCAATGTCATATAGTGGAACACTGTCCCAAAAAAAAAAAAAAAAAAAATGTAGCAGATCCGTTTACTAATGTGGTAATTGCAGCATTTTCTTTCTATATGTAGGCTATGCTATTTTTAAAAAGTAATATTGTATTATATATATATATATATATATATATATATATAGAGAGAGAGAGAGAGAGAGAGAGAGAGATATTCATGATTCAGTAGACTACTTTTGAACACCTGACACTTGTAGTTGATTTGGAGTGAATGGGAAACACATTATGATGTGACAGCAGACATGCTGCATCTTGTATTGTACTAATAAGTGTTGTTATTAGACTGTGCCTGTGTGGCGCCTCCTCTGGTGGATATTATATTAAGAATAAGATATGACAGAGTGGGGGCCCATTCCCAGAGATCATTAGAGTAAATCAGAGAGGTGAGCTGGTCACTTTAATGATCAGGGAAGTGTATGCAGACAAACTACTGTCTAAAACAAACAGTCCACTCTCTCCAAGGTAAAATATAAACTAAGTGAAGAGTAGTGAAGAGCTCTGTCATCCAACTCTCTCCAACTATATCAAAGTTTTAACTATGACATTTTTTTTTTCTTGTCTCAGAAGTAAAAAAAAAACAAAACAAAAAAATGAGATGACCCAATAGAAGAAATTTGATCATCAAAAATAACTGATAAAAATTAATCAATGTATTTTTTAATAACTGCTGTATGTGGAAGACAAAGTGCAAAGAATTTTAAAATAATTCTCATTTTCTCATTAAGTTTTGTACCACATTCATTTGCCCTTTTTTGCATAATGTCCAATCAGAACGAAAGCCGATTACTCCCATTGGATGTGCTTGTTTACATTTTAATAATCTAACCCCTGAAATCAGACAATGATCAGATTTGTGGTGTGCATGTAAACACAGAGTAAACTAAAAATACTTTGAGGTTGTGTGTGCACCAGCATTGATCTGTAAACAACATTACCCCAAAGTGACACTATTAAGCCTCCTTTTAAAGCAGACCTATTCAGCAAAATCGACTTTTCAGAGCTTTTAACCATGTTATAGTTGTTTTCCCTCACCATTTACTCCTCCAGAGTTGTATTTGGTGTGATTCATGATTGTTTGAGCCATCTTTAATTGCTTATTTTCAAGATGCCATTTTGCTAATCAACTTTCTCTTTCTTTGCCACCAGCATATACCCACTAACTTTGTTCTCCAATTTTATTTTCTTAATATTTGATGCGTGTAGGATTCTCTAGGGTCATGCAGTCAATTAGGTACAAAAAAAAATTAAAATAAAAATCTGTGGCTCATTTGTTTCTTTAGTGGTTTTTTTTAGAGTGTTTTAGAGAGTTTTTGAAATTTTAAATGTGCAAATGATAAAATAATGATCTACGGGTGTCATAGATTATAACTATATAGCAGACACATTTTTAATAACGAGTATGTTTTTTTTAGACATAGCATTACATCAATCATTACAAAGCCTATCTATCTTTGTAACACACAGATGCTGAAATGCCATTCATGTGCACATAATGTTACCTAATTGATACTGATTGTCCCACTTCTTAGAGTTTATAATAGTTACCATAGCAACGACCACATAGAGTGAATAAACACATTTCTTCATTTAATCTTCCCTTTGCAGGTTTGATCAGAAGATGCTCTGGTTCTCTGACTTGGACCTGCCATGCTGAGCCACAAAAACAGATTTAATAATAGGCTCCTGATGTTCACAGGAGTCAGTGTTCTGTGTGAAATCTCACCTCATACTCACTGTACATAAGCCATAAGCCAATAGCATTTTCACACTTTCACTGATAAACATTGCACACACTTTGTAACTAAGATTAAATGTGTGAACTCTCCACTTCAATGCTGTCATTTAAGATCCAATCCAATTTCTTTTGTGTAGCACATTTTATAATCAAGCTGGTTTCTGGAGTGCCTGGCATATGGTAAATGGTCATATTTTTCTATAGCGCTTTCCCACCTTCAAGGCACTTTACATCAAGGAACCACTCACCCATTCACACACACATTCATACACCAGTGTATGCAGACACTAGGGACAAGGTAGGTTAAGTATCCTGATAGAAAGTGAGACAAAGCCTGCACACTTACCCCAAACTGTATTTAACGAATGACCAACTCTTCGATCAGTGGATCTTTGTCAGGTCATGGTTCTCACTGTGTTCCGCTCCATACGAACATTCTGTCCACTGATTGGTTGGCCAATCCAAAAGTGAGCCTTAGGAGATGTCCACACAACAAAATATATAACATAATATGCACTGTACATCATATAATAATAAGCCATTACACAAATCCATCAAACATATGTTATCATCGGGCAAGTATATTACATTAGAAATAAATATAACATAATAAGAAATGTTTA